TATATATTGGCTTTATTATAAATATTTCCTTTATACACGCTTTACAATTGAGATAAGTTTGATTAAGACTTTGCTTATTTAACTTGAATTAGTTACGCTTAAGATGGGTCTGTGGTAGCTGAATGTAATGTAATGTAATGTAATGAAATGTTTTATAGGTAACAACAATTCCGAGTAAACACGACGTTCCCTAGGTACACTTGTTACACTTTTTTGCCGAATGACCCTTCCTTATAGACGTATTTACGTCAAAAATTGATGGGCAGAGCACGCAGCACACATGGAAGTGATGGAAAATACATATATAACGACGAAAACCCTAAAGGGAAAATACCAACTGCAAGACCTTTACGTAGACTAAGGGATAATATTAAAATGGGTCTTAAAGAGTGATGGTTGTGATCTGGATTCATCTGCCTTTCTACCGACAGACCTCTGCAAACCAACACAAGGCGAGACGAAGGGTTTTCGGGATCGCTACTTCACATCTACAAGTTTCCACGTAGCAATCAGACCTTCTACAGTCATTCTCCCATGAAATTGTAATCTTATCTAAGGTAAAACTTTCACACCAAGGCAGCTTGGCTCCGCGACAAAACGCCTGACTGGCTAGTCATCGAGAACCTTTTCCGACACAGCTGTCAAAGTGACTTGGAGGGCAACAGACCGAGCTTCACCGAGCACGTCTAGGACATGTAGCACGCGAAACACACAAACTTCCAGCCAGAAAACGCGAAGGAACGAGACAATTGTCAAGACTTCGCTCAGATAAGAAGACATTTTAAAACTGATCGTAATGGGAACAGGGTCATAGGGTCTCGAACTGGATTCAACTGTCTCAAGACACGGACCGGTTTTTAAACCTTCGGGTTCAATAAATACGATACATTTCCTGAGTACCAAAGAGATAGTTTTATCAATCAAGTCAGCCCGTCATCTTCAAGAACCAAGACCATTGAAATGTTTTTCAAACGAGCCATGACGTGACTACGAGGAAGGCGTCTCCGGAAACCTTAGGATAACGTTCCGGGTCACAGCTCAGGGAAGTGAGCATTTTGCTGCCCGGAAGTTCACGGGGGATCAATGCGCAACAATCTCATTTCCGAGATCTTGCTAACGTCAGTTCCACAGTGGCAGAGAGATGCAGTTCTCGGTTCATTTCAGCACAAGTTGATTTGGCGTCAGGAAGACCGGTTTGCATCAACGCTTCACTGTATGGGATATAAATCTTTTTTTTTTAGTGTTCTGTCTGAGGACAGTTCCATATGAACAGGATCCTTCCATCCTTTTCTCGGACTGGGACCTGTTCATATACGTTCTTGGCAGATGATCCAGAAGTGGTTTGCCATTGCCTTCTTCTGTGTGTGAATGGAGTAATTGTTGGGATGCCACGGAGGAAAACTCCGTGTTGCCTAGACCACGGCCTTGCCCAACACAAGTTATAAATTCGGGCACCGCCGGGAATCGAACCCGAGACCCCAGCGTTCTAACCGCTAGACCACCGTGGTTATAAGTAAATCATAGTCGAATGTTAAAGCCATGGCGTCAAGTCCAGCAAGTCCCTTGTAATTCGTCTTTAATGTTGTACGAGTGATTCCCATGTTCCTAAGTTCACATCCTCTCTTGAAACGTTTGAAACAATGCCAAGTCTTACAAATTCTTTAAACCATCTTGTCTTTGGCAGAATTCTGTCGATCTAAAAGGGTAAAACTCATGAATTCCCATCTCACATGCGTGCCACATACCCCGCCAATCTAATCCTCGTTGTGCTAACCACACGCTAATTATATTTTGCGAACAGAATAAATTCGACGTAAATGCATGTCTACGGATTACTCGCCTCTCCAAAAAAAAGTAACAGACCAATGTTATAAACAATGCTTCTGCATTACAAACAGAATTGATGTCAATACAAAGGATGAAAGCCATCCCATCCACGGAGTAGGAAGCTGGTCTGGACGCAATGGTGCAGAGAATCTAACCCTGGTAGTCCAGCTTGTAGCCTAGGAATTAAATTGACTACTCCAACCCCAGTAAAATTTCAATACAAATGATAGTTTGTTTCATAGATTCTTTCATCTTGCCCAAAAATCCACGAGAACTTATTTTCAGACTTCAATTAGCAGTTCAGCCTCTTAGTACAACAACCTTAGCTCTCCGCTCAATTCTTGCAGGGGCGCAGACAGTGGATGAAAACTTGGTACTTTAAATAAAAATTCACTTCCTTCTGCCTAATTTCTGTATCATGAGGACAGTACAGGTAAAACTCCGAGCATTCCACCTCTTATCCTGATTGACAGTATCTGTGTTTTTCTCCAGTCCCTCCAGGCAAATGCTGAGATAATATAATGGGAAAGTACCACCTCCTTTCATACCCTTTCCCATTCATTAAGAATAATTATTCAACCATGCGATGCTACATAACCTATGAAGTTGAATAAGTCTGTTAAACTGTATGAAACAAGCGACAATCACATTTTATTTATAGCATGACATACATGGGGGATCCCTTTTTCGTCCCCTGGGCAAACAGACACGACACATAAACTGTGGGGAAAATACTACAGTGGACTGCAAAAATTAAAAAAATTTAATCCTGAATTTGAATTTCATGCAAATATCACAATAAAACAACATGAACCACCTTAAATTATGGACCTTCATTTTTATTTAGTCCTATTTTGAACAAATGATTCTGTGCTGTTTAAAGGACGCAGCACGAACATCCTGCTCAAAATCCCTGTGTGCCCCCACCTCAAAAGTTTGCTTGTTACTTCACATTACATACCAACATAAAATCATAAAACCATGCTGAATGATTCATAATACTTAACGACGCTATCTAGCAGCAGAATTTACGGTGTTGACGCCATCATTAGAAAAGAATACTGCAATAAGAAACCCTGCACAATTCAGTATTTTATATTTCTTTGTGTTTCAACTGCACAACGTTACAGGTGCGTACAATCATCATGTGTAATCGAGGTAAGCTCCAGTGATCTAGTGGTCCCATGTTCAATCATGACCACAGCTAACAAGAAAATTAATCTGTCAGGATGATGACAACCGGGGGCACAGCAAACAACTTGAATAATAGACAACCTATACTACCTATGGCGTCACCACCCTTCGAGGCAATGAGATGTGCGTCCATATGCCCCTGCGGCAGTTCTAAAACAACATCAGTAGCATCTGGCACTTCCTGAACACTGCGAAAGTGAGGTTTCGCATTAGAATGATTGGATTCACCGAAACCCACATCGGTCTACTACAATCAAACACGCAGAGACGGCTACCAAGTATGTGCAAATGTCAGCGGCGCAAGAACTCCATGAAATCTGAAAGGTGATCGCACACAACCTTTCCAAGAAAGATTAATAAAGCACCAACAACACGTGAGTTTTGTATTTTTTCACTACATTCATTTGCCACATTCCTCTACAACGAATTAGTCAGGTTTTATTGTTTTGTCATCCAACATGTGATCATAGATCTTATTCCAAATTTAAATTACATTAGATTAAGTTAGCTGTGAAGTTTGACAGATATTCATGCATATGTAATTGCTCATGGGCACTTGATGTGATATGTTTCCCCTTTCTTTATCATTTACTTCTTTTGTATCTCAATCTCCATTCCCAGAACACTTTACTTTTCAGGCCATGTTTGAAATTCAGATTACTTTGTGTTAAATCAGGAATATTCAGTATTTTTCTGTAAAAACGCTACTGTGGGAGTTGATAGCGTTGCATTTGAAAGTTTCACGCAAGTAGAATGCTGATTATGGCAGGAAAAGGGCTTACAGAGGGGAACATGAAGAGGAGGACAAAGGAAACAGCCTGTTCTTGCAAATTCCCCCAACACCCTTCATCATTTCATTCAAAATAGTATTATGAACATTGTTAATTTAAATCTGTAATTTTTTAATGTTAATTAATCTTTATGCAATTATGTATTTACAATATGCAGTGTTAGAGATACAATGATTTATGATTGGACTAGTGGCACTAAAAGAAAACTAGTAAATAATTAAAGGATTCGGTAATGTTTCGCTTTCTTGATTTTTAACACAACCAATTTCAGTTCTTTTAAATATTTTAATACCATGAATACAAGCAATCACAAATTCTCAAACTCTACTACCCATACTCTGGATTAATTTCGAAAGCGTGTTATGTATTATTCATATAGATCTTGCATACCGATTTGTCTGCTGTCTCGTCACTCAAAAAGCAGCTTCCAACAGGATAGTGCATCATAACCTTAAATTACCAAATATCTGTTTTGATAAAGAAATGGAATTCCACCGTTACAAAAGATCTTACATGTCACATGCACTTAATGTTACAAAAGTCTGAGAATTCATAAAAGTAGTGTTTGTTTTAGCTATAGTTATACCTTTCTGTATTAACAACACATTCAGTAATGAATACAATTAGGTTATTTACCTTGTTTCCGTGTTCCAGTATGGTATTGAAGACTCGGGTTTGAATCAGTATAATTTTCGAGTTTCGTGTATTCGTTCAAAAAACATACACACGTTTCACACAAAAAACATATTAACATCTCGTCATTTCACTCTAATGAATGCAAATCGAATTAGAAAATGTACTAACCCACAGAACGAACACGAAATTCTTCTTTTGCGTATGTACTTCCGTTACAGTACGGAAGCAATTACGAATATATATCCTAAATTTACTATTATGTAACACATTAGTTATCAAGAACTATATAAAATTCCATGCACACGCTTGTTTTATTTACAAATATGATCTTTAGATATAATACTGATAATTAAAACTTACTCAACTCTTACATTGACTTTTTATCACCAGGAGCCTCACAACAGATGTAGCTTACGAAATACGTCAAGACATTTCGTTATTTGCCACTAGTGGCACATACCACAAGGTGAAATTGGAAGAGCTTTATGCACACATTGCTAGATGGCAGAATGCATCCACTAACACCTGTTTTTCTTCCAGACGATTCAGTGACTTCCCGACATTTATTGTGACTATCAGCATAATTTTGTGTATGTATGTATGTATATGTGTATGTGAGTATATATACATAAAACAATAAGAAATAAACACATGTTTTAAAAGATATATTTCACTGACATTTATATCGACTCTGTGATTACGGCCACACCAGTTGCCAAGCAACTGTGATGTTTACATATGGTGGCGTGTGAGAGTAGCGAATATTAGAGAAGGTTAAGGACGCTCGTAAAGCGTCATACTATAGCACTAGAAAGCTGAAAAATAATAATCTTTAATTAAATTTGTTACGCACTATGGAGAACATATTTTCCAAGATGGAAGCCAACAGTGGTAATGTACTTGAAGTGGATGTTAAAAACCCATTGGATTCCCCTCACGTAAAAACAGAGCTGCTGGGAAATCAGGATTCACAAGAACAGCGGCTGTTATCACATGAAGATGTTTTAAAAAAGGAAGAAGATGATATACATCAGAGATCAGACTCTGATGATAATGAGGATGCTAATTTAGATCAAGCAGCAACTGCTCTAGAAGATATGCTTACAAAAACAGAGGACTTCACCAGTAGATCAGAAAGTGCACATGATACTAAAGAAAACATTGCTCAGTCACTGCAGGGTACATCATTTGAATCGGAGATAATACTTCCTAAACTTGCACTATGTGATAGAAAGGAAAAGAAAAGAGAATCAAAAAGCAGAAAAGAATTGGAAGAGGAAGAAAGGGAAAAAATGCAGTACGTACTAAATAAAGTTCCATGACTGACTATATTAGTAATGCGACACTTGTGTTGAGCACTTTATTTACCAGTGTGGTTTATTTTAGTTTGATAGTACTTTTTCGCTATTTTCTTTTTCCGTAAAACATATGGTCAAAGAACACAAATGTTTTGCAGGGTATTGGTGTCAAACTTCACAGAAGAACAGTTGGATAGATACGAAATGTACAGGAGATCTGCCTTTCCAAAAGCTTCTATAAAAAGGGTACTAAAGGTTTTATTATATGAACACGTAGTTTTTAAAATTGTTTATAAAGTTTCAGTTTCAGCATATGAACTAACTTAAGCAACTTAAATGCATGATTGATTCTTTCTGTTTGTATTGTGTTACATATATAACATACTTTTGAATTTCTGTTTTCAGTTAATGCAGACGATCACTGGATGTTCTGTGTCTCAAAATGTTGTCATTGCAATGTCTGGCATTGCTAAAGTCTTTGTAGGAGAGGTTGTAGAAGAAGGTATGGCAATTCTATAGTGGTTGGTAAAATATAAATTAGCATATTATTGAGAAATAATACAATATGAAGTTTACATAGTGAATATTCCAACCTGAATAACCTAACCAGATAGTTAACAATGAATAGTTATAAGTGAATGGATTGTTTACGTGATGGTTCCTTAACTCTGCAGATGAGCATTTCAAATATATTAATTTATTTCTCATGTCACTTACATGTGTATTGTAACTGCTGGTCCATCATGGTCAATAGTTACAGACTTTTCTTTTTTGTCTTTCTTCATGCAAAATGCTGGTAGACTGTGATCTTCTAAATTGTTGTTCTGTGTAGTTTTTTGGTTTCTGTAGATCCAGGGGCAGAATTTGTTAAACTTAGTTTCTGGTTTATCATGAGCTAGAATAGCTGAATTATTAAGTGATTGGTTAGGGGCTTGATGACTGGCATTCAATATCCAGCATAGGTAGCAATTCTTCCCCTTTTTACCACACCCACCCGCCTATCCAGTGGGTATGGGGGCTCTCAACCCGTGGGTAAATCACTCTTTACTCCCATTCAGTACCAAGGTTAAGAATGTGATATTTCAGTTTCTCACAGCAGCAAGTATGAAAATAACTCTTCCGTGATGCTGCTCTGCGTAGTCTTGTAGATATTGACTGATGCTTCAGAGGCGTTTATTATCTCCATCATTGTCACCGCCCTGATGATGGAGGGACTAAGAACCTCTGAAACATCAGTCGGTTTCCGAGACTACATGGCACGGCATCCGAGAAGACAGTAATCTTCACAGGAAAGAGGTTAATTAGAAGATAAACACATATTTAAGAGTTTAAAATAAAAAGTTTTGGTGGTTGCACTTGTGTGAACCCTGTAGGACCTAGTGGTGGGGTTTCGTAGGTCTATCTATGAGTACAACAAAATAATACAATAGGAAGCTGCAGTTTGTACAAAAAATATCTTAATTTCAGCTTTGGATGTAATGGAGAACCAAGGAGAAGTTGGGCCTTTACAGCCTAAACATTTAAGAGAAGCTGTAAGAAGACTTCGTCTTCGTTCCGGAATTCCAAACGGACATCCCCACAGACTTTGGTTCCGGATTTGATTACATTATGACTGTGTTTATCGAGAGTGAATTAATATGTGGTGTGAGGGAATTGCTAAATCAGGCTGAGACTACCTTTTTGGATAATTGTACTGTGTAGAAAGAAAAGAAGTTTCCAACATTTTTAATATTATTGTCCAGTATATTATCAGCGAACATGTAATGTATTCAAGAGCTAAAGACATGCTGGTTTCTAAGTGATATACTGAAGATCTATGAAAATAATTTCATGTTTTACAAACTTACAATGTAAATTCAGATTAATTTATGTTAATGTAACTACTCTGATAGCAAGGCTGAAAATGACATGAAATTATAAAGCCACGTCGCACAGAGTTAGGGGACGACCAAGGGAGAAACGAAAAAAGAATTTTTGTGGCTGTTAGAAGAATTAAATTTTCGCACTTTCCCTTTCTACATCACTAAAGGACGGTCTTTTCCATAAATAACAGAAACATATCCGCAGTTATGATGGTAGGGTTTGTGAATGACAGAAAATTTCATATAATGATTGGTGTAAGATTACTGTTCAAAATATGCCTCAACTGAGAATGTAGGTGATGTTTGCTTTTGTGAAAAGTTTTTAGATTTAATTTTAAAATTAGGGAATAAAATATATTTTTACGAGTGGGAATGAGCGTTTACATGAAATTAGTAATTGAAGTGGGGTTAGAGAATAATGAATCATGTTAAACAAAATTAAAGATTTCACAGAAGTTAATGTATGCCTGTGTCCTGTAATTTGGATGCAGACAGACAAAATGGACACAATGAAACCAATAGTTTTTTCCTGAAATTTTTGTTGACATGCATCTAAAAATTATATTGTGATACCAAAACAAATATAATGTAGAATATTTACCACTTGATACACATTCTTTAATATTTGTCAGAACAGTATTTATTCCACTTAATAAAAGCTTTTCAGTGCTTTGAAATTCTCCTATTCCTTTTCCATCCTGTGGGAGACATCAGATAAATGTATCCCTGATTTTGATGCCATTACTTTAAGGCACTGGACAGAAGTCTTAACTTAGCATCAGATGGAGGTAAGTGGTTGTTCATTGCTATAAAGAATATCCTTGGCAGACTACCAACACGATACCTGTTGACACATAAAATATAATTATGTAAAAGGTATGAAAATTCAGGCATTCATCTATTAAGGACATTTTGAGTATATACACATCCAAAAGTATTTAACACTTATTTCTTTCCAATTTTATGGTGTGAAATCAAATATTTCACATTCAAAATTTTGTGCATGTTGTGCTTCAGTTACACAAGTTATTCTGTAGGTATCTAAAGAAAGATTGAGTTCTACTGTGTTTAATATGTTAATAATATCCAGTTTTTAGAAAACAGTTTCTCATCCATATTTGTGACAGATTTATATTTTCAGGTAGCTGTGTCATATTCATTTTTACACAGATATCTTTCCTAAGTCTACAGTGATTTAAGGGTCACAGAAACCCAGAGCATTCATGTTTACTGGGAAACTAAAATTTGGAGCATCATATATTTTTTTATAACTGCAAACCTACATTCACATTATTAAGTGCTCATTAAGATCTGAAAAAATGACATGATTTTATGCGTTTATCATATTATATGAAAGTAAAACTTGTATTCTAATTCAATCTTCTGTGGACTGGGTGAGCAAATTATCACACATAATCAATTTCTTATAAAAATTTGGGATTATTTTGCTAAAAATGGAATAAATTTTCCAGAAGAAATGCATGACCAAACATTATTAAAGTGATGTATCTATAAAATACTAGTTGGGTTATTTTCCTCACAAATTTCAACACTGGTTTATAAATATTTATTTATTTATATTGCACAAAAAGGTGAGTGCTTACTCGTCTTCACTACAGTCAATCAACTATCTAATTTTACAGATTTCTGATGTCAATTTTTTATTATCTGTGATAGCAAATACTGGCGGTTTTTTCGTTAGCACAAACAGCGGAAGTGAGTTATCAGCTGATGGGCTGTGATCAATAACATTAGCAATAAAACAGCTGAAAGATGAAAGAACGTAATATGTACTGATGGGCTGTGATCAATAACATTAGTAATAAAATAGCTGAAAGATGAAAGAACGTAATATGTCTATTTGACACTGACAGCGAACAAAAACTCTATGACCCCAAATAAACATAAAAAGATGATAAACGCGACCTCAAATAAACCAAGACTCGTAATTCCATACTTATCATGTTATACGTTGCATCTGTGTGATTTACGAGAGTAAATATACCCTGCAGTTTTGTAGCTGTTTGTAAGCAAAATGTGTTATAAAAGAGCAGGAAGTTATGATTTTTTTGTACGGAAACGAGGGCATTTTGCGAAGATCTAGGGCCAGGGGCAGCTAGTTATAGCTTATTTTTGCTGCAGTAGATGAAAGGGCTATTATCAATTAATGGACTTCAGCCAATGGCAGGGTAATGACCTAGACAGAAAAAGAAAGAAATGATTTATTTATTAATGAAGTAATAGAATGCCAGTTCGTGCATTTGCCTCTCGATTTGAAGCTGTTTCTCTTGTGAATTACTAGGTTTGTTATAATGCGGTCTAAACACAGTATTTTCTTTCTTGCAGTTGTCATACTTGGTAAGGAATCATTAATACTTTACAGGCATAAAATTATGTGAGTGATAAATATATGATAGCATTTTTTATGTAAGATAATTTGACACATGCGAACGAAAGGAGTAACGCACAATCATGTTAATTGTCCTAAAATTCATTTCGTACTATTGTAAATTGTCTAATATCATCAGGAATATATTAATACATGTGAAACATTAATTTAGCTACTAATACTGGGGTATCGTAATTAATGTTCCGTAGCGTAGTTTAACTGCATGTATGCAGCTCTGTGAAATGCATGATGTATTCCGTTCTCAGCCTTCCCGTGTTGGTGTAATATAACCCTTTCCTGTTTACTTTGTAATATTTAAATATTGTGTTCATCCATCCACCTCACATTTTAGCAGTAGATCTTTCTATTTCAATGAGAATTAACAAAAGCTTTTGGACCTACAGATTTTCGAACTATGCAGACTTTCATGTACTTCCACATACAAAAGTAATTAATTCAGTCTTTTCTTGAGACTGAATGTGGGATAGGATAGTCCGAGTTGTTTTATACATGTTGATTTTCATTTAAAAGGAAACCCTTGGAAGTGTAATTGAGGGATGTCTAGATGGAGGCCTGTTACTTTGAATACCATTTTATCACCAATATATTTACAAGAATTAAATTCTAAGGAAGTGTATATTTCTGTTACATGATCTTAGAACCTACTTGTACATTAAGGAGTATCAGTACTCAATTAAAGTAGACAATATGATAATAACCTCTACCCATATGTTTTAAATTAAATGATGCTTAATTCCTTGCGATATTTAAAGAAATCATAACACATTGTAGAACCCATAATATGTGCATTTTATATCAGAAAAAGGGGGGTGGTTATGCCCCATATTCTTGTGGGTGTTTGAAGGAAAAAAGTGTATATAGGTAAGATTATTAATTAAAGATTGATACTTTTCTTTATGTTTAACTGAACCAATATCTGTTCATTGCAGCTTGAACCTAAAGTTAGAATTTCATATTTTATTCAGTGATTCAATCAGTGTTGTGTAAATATTTTTGCTTTTAGCAATTTATAGAAGACATGAGATCATAAACATCAGATAGACAAAGAAGAAAACAACTTTATATGTTTTTGTAATATCAGTTCAGCGACATGATTTTTCAGGGATAATGAATGCAAAGTGCAGATCCAGAGTTGATCCTAACTTCCTGGTTTCCTTGACTTGTTTACAGTAATGGAGATGTGTCAAGGCTGTGAACAAGATCAAACACGTCAAGGCTGTCGAATTCAAAGTGGAGTGTGCCTTTGTGGTATTGGCTGTTATTCTGAATACCGCTACACTACAAAAGAAGAATGCAGGAAAGCTTTAAGAGGTTACTACAAATATGTAAAATTACATTGGGTAATATTATCACATGTAGGTTTACTTTATATAAATATGCCGTTCATATTTAGGTAGCCGTAGAGATGTGTGCCAGCGGAACCCCTGCCACAATGGAGGTGCCTGCAGTCAGACATCTTTTGAACCAGGCTACCGGTGCCGCTGTGAAGGAACTGGTTATTATGGAAACCGTTGTCAACATGGTAAAACTGAAGCATCTGTGTAATAAGCTAGCAATGTAAACATATAAAAATTGCATGCTAAGAAGTATGAAATTTTTCTGCATAAAATATCCTTAAATCTTGCATATTCATGAAATTTGTAAATGTTTATACTAAGCAGTATTTTTACTTCTCATTTGATAACATTCTGAATTTAGACCCCATGAGGCACCAAGGTTTGCTGATCCATATTCTTTAGCTGGTAAATGAAAATCTTTTTCTTGTGAAGGTACTAATTCAGAAAAATAGTTTGCAAAATCTTTAAGTAAACATATTAAAAAATCTTGACAAGAAATTGTATTAAATAAATATTTTATCAGAGTATAAAATAATTATAATATTTGCAGGAAATATCAGTCTTCTCTTGAATATATGGTGCCAGTTCATGCATATATCATTACATGATTCTATTCACTTATTAGAATTACAATTTAAAGGACTTTTAGTTCATTCTCTTGGTCATGTTATGTTTCAGCTTGTCCAAGTTCCAACACTGCACTGCAAGATAATGAAACCTTCCCATATGAATGTGTGGTTATCTAAATATGTACTGAACATGCTAAAAGTGTATTAATTTTACGTGTAAAGGAAACATTGTAATTTGCCACTGGAGTGGAAATACTGAAACTTTTATTTAAAAGTGTTAATAAATTTTATATATAGTACAAAGAGTGTTATGTGAAAACTATATAGGTATATTGCAGCTGTTCATTGTTACTTTAGCTTGCGACAGACAGAATTGCTCACGGGGCTGTGAAATTAACGTAAGTAACTCGCAAAACTGAATTTAAATGATACTACGAGGGGTTAACCATCTTCTGTTAATATCAGACCACAAAAGTAACCATTGATTTGTCTTTGACCATCGCAGCCTCTGCATCTATTGAGAGTGCATGCAGGAATCCACATTTTTTGATGGGAATACCCACTGAGCAGGGTTATTACCATTTTGTCCCAGATTGGACAATACACTTGCAGACATGAAAACTTTACTAGGAGTGGGGGGGGAAGGTGGCATGTGGAAGAATGTGCACCAGATCTGGCTGGTCTCAAACTTGAGATTCTCCACATGAAGTCCAGTTCCTCACCCCTAGGCAAACCGGTTCTCAAACTGATGCCTCATTTACCCTCTTTTGACTCCCGAGTTGGCATGTTGTGACAGCTCATTGAAACATCATGGCAGTTATTTTTTTGAAGTTAATGTTTTAATGTTACTTTAAAAAAATTTCAACTTTAATTTTTATGCTACGAATCATAATATTCCTTCAGTAAGTTAACTCACACTATCCCCATTTACTGTAATTTTCATGGCTATCCCACCAATCATCAGTTTAGGTTAGGTTTTATTTAACAGGAACTACTTCTGACAGAAATGGCTTTCAGTTGTGATTATTCTAACTGGACACAAAAGCTAGACTAAATGTACAGTGAAAGCATGATTAGTTAATATGTATGACCATCATAATTTTATCACCATGGAGTGAAAAATCCTTACACAAACTAGGTAAAAGTGGAATAAATGGTAGAAGACAGAGAAGGAAGATTACTTACTTGTTGGAACCAGGTCTTGCAGTCACAATGGAAAACACCATGAACTTTATGGTAAGAAAATGTTTTGATCCACTGGTCAATGCTAGAAGATCTGGAAACAGTTGGTTAAGAATTTTGTATACTCTTTGGAGAACAGTAAAATTCCGAAAGTTTTCTTCATGCCAAAACGCTGGTAATGACATGACTAAGTTGCTTCATTGATAACCATGGCTCAAAGGATGTGGACTTACATCACTCTTAATCAAAAGGAATAACAAAGGCAATAATGGTATAATTTTTGACATAATTCTAACCAAGACTTTCCCTTTGCATTTAATACTAGGGGTGTGGAGAGGTATGTAGCAAAACATTTAATTTATAAACACAGAACAATCAAAGACACAATCAGGACAAAATGACATGTTAAATTCAGTGCTGCAGTTTCATCTACTGAAAGAAAACTTACCAACAGCTATTTTCCATTTTTTATAGCTATATTTATGCTCTCCTGATAATCATACTATTATGATGTTGCAACAAGCATAAGTACTTCACTGTGCCCTAATGTAGATCCATGTTTGTCTATAACTTTGTAGTCATGCAAAAAAATGGTGTTGACTTAACTGGATGGTTATGGTGACTGGTACTGCTAGGAGATGGGTAAGATATTTTAAAAGCAAACATTCACAGACTACAATATTCTGTTGTCCAATTCATTCATGTATATGTATATATTTTTTTTTTTACATTTTCCTGCAATTGAAATTAAATACAATAAGAAGAAATATGACAGTAGATGATTAACAAAATGAAGATGAAGAAAAAAAAAATGAACTGCAAAGCAGTACCCACAGCAACCAGAAAAAAAAAAGTAACTGCAAAGCAGTACCCACAGCAACCATGTAAATTAAAATGATATCAAGTTTACCACAGGAAAATCAAAGTGATGTTAGCTTACAGCTAATACCCACAACTCTGAATTCACTCTCTCTCTCTCATTTTCATTCTTATTGCATCAACCAAAAGTAGATTATAATAAAGTCTCACAATGGAAATTCTTTGTATACAATGCCTAGGGTTTTTATTAACTCCAAGTCACTGTATTAGACACGAATACACGTATCACAAATTTAATTCAATATATCAGCATAAAGGGCCCCTTTGTACCACCAAACACACATTCAAGCATACGGGTGCTAAAGTACCACTCAAGTCAACTATCACACAAAATCCTGTTGCACATAAAAAAAATTAACCTACTTTATTTTTATCATGACTATTTACTCATATTATGCTCATTATGACTTGTGGGGCAGTGAGTTTATGATTATGCTAACAATACAGAAAGTTCATATATAACTGCATGTCAGAATCCGTCTCTGTTCACCACTGGTACCCCAACATCATTTAATCTCACTCGTGTTATCCTTCAGCGCTGTGCAGCACTGCCTCGTCCAAGCAAACACCCCAAAATTACTATCACAGAAGAGAGAGAAAAAAAGAGGGTATTCAATGTTAACAGCAAAATGTAATAGATACTTCAGATAATATGTATTTAAAGCATACATTCATTAATATTCTGTCCTTAGAAAATCTGACAGATGCGTGTTACCTCATTATCGAAGGTAAGAAAGTTGAGACACTTAAACTGCCATTATCAATATTTCCATTTCACTGACCAGGTAGATGTAAAGTGGTATCATTCTAATATCTACATACAAAGTGCTTTTAAGTTTAGTTCGGAAAACATTTTTCAACAAACTTTGTCTCAGTCTTCATAAGGTATGCCACATAGGATGATAAACCATATACAATGCACCTTGAATGAAAAAACAAGTTGATGAAGCCAATAAACAAATGTCGGCGATTATCAATATTGTAGCCGTCAACATTAACAAAAAACCAAACCCACTGTATGTATGTATGTGTGTGTGTGTATATACACACATACACACGTCTAGTACATGACACATCATAGTTTATTTGGTAAAAATACATTCATTGAGATATTAGGCAGGAAATGCTTCACTCTAACATAGCTCTTATGTAAAACCTTTTATTGTATATTTGATACAGGTTGTTGTGGGTACCGACAACCACTGGTGGTTTCAATACCATCAAGCTTCTCTACTCTTCTTGAGGAACAAAGGACACCTCGTTCAGACTTCCCAAGAACTGATGCACAGTGTAGCATAAAACACTCGTGCATTTAGGTTTTGAACGCCTTCATACATGAAATAGGCTGCGTCAAAGCACGATGAAAACCACGTTATACAATGGAGCATAAGAATGTTCCCCATTTTGTACCTGGATTGTGGGACTGAATACACCTTATGAAGCCATAGGTCCTATTCTAGATGTGATCAACCCCAATTCTTCACATCTGACGGTAGTCTTGTAACTTTCACTTAGTATGTTGCCATTATACACCCAATCAATATTCAATTCCTTGTTTTATTATTAAAGATTATGTATTTCTCAGAGTTGTTTCAATCATCAAAGGAATATATGAGTAATTATGTTAACACTGAAACTGCATTATGCTACAGTTATATTTAAGACTGTTTCTTATGTTTTTATATTAGTCTCATTATTACTTTATGAGACAGGCTCTAAACTGAAATGGGCTGAAGCCAAAAGCATTTATCAGAAGAGAAAATTAAACCACTCATATTAGAAATACAGGTTGTACCATCACTGTGCACTGCAAAGCAACAGGTCAGCCATTAGGAAACTACAACTGCATAAAACAATTCAGTTCACAACATTCAAGACAAATCCTCTTCATATGTCAGTATTTTGAGGACGGGGTTTACAGTCAACCTTCATAAAGCAAGAAATAAAGAGTATTAAGACTATGGAGGCAGGATATCCCACTCGAATCAACGAATATGATAATTATATATTTTCTAAAAAAGAACTTGCTACAAGAGCACAGATTCAACAAGAACAGAGACAGTTAGTGAGCAGCGCATTATTCGGCTACAGAACCTGGGGCGTGCGGCTGACGTACATCTGCATTAAAACCTCTGGTCCCATCAGGGCCCTTTGGTTGACGAACCACCATTAGTTTGGGCCCTGCTTCTTCCAGGGAGATTGTTCGTAACCGGCTGATCAGTCGCTCAGGACGCTCTTGTCGCGGAGCATCGCTACAAACGAATGAACTTTATTTCCAACCAGTTTTAAAAAGACGCATCATACACGGGAACAAGAACGGATTTCAATATCAGAATCTGAAGGCTGGCCAATAAGCCACTATCTCAAGTAGACTTTCTAACGTCATACAAAATTTAACATACAGGATGATTCAAAAGGTTAGGGCCAAACTGAAGGAGCATATAGAGGGACTCAGGGAGAACAACTTTCGAATAGGAATCCATGTCCTGCGAAGTTATCCTGAGTCAGTCGAGGCCATTGAAGGTAGGTAAGTCTGATAACGTACCTATTGTAAATTTGGTTTGTAAGATTGCTAATGTAATCCTTGTACTTTAACAAAAAACAAAATTAAGCTAGAAGGAGAATAGCAAAATATGATTATTTCAGCGGTATGTTATCAGACTTCCCTACCTTCAGTGGTTTCGACTGACTAAGGATAACTTCGGAGGACATGGATTCCTATTCGAAAGTTGTTCTCTCTGAGTCCTCCTTCAGTTTGGCCCTAACCTTTTGAATCACCCTGTATATCTTACAAAGAGCATATCATGATTTCAAGAATAAGGCAAGATTAATAAGTCAATTCCAGCCAGGATACATGTCTAAGTCCACTGTAATGGTGAGCTGCCTGTGGTCCACTGACATGTGTTACACTGTCACGCCAAATGGTAAAAAACAGAGGTAAATTGCTGTAAGCTTTCAACATGGCCTTCAGTTTCACACACAGCTGCAGCGTGCAACTTGTAAGCACAACACATTTTCAACTTCTGAGCAGGCAAGGTCATGTGTTTTCTTAGTCACACACAAGTATTGATAATGTCAGTACTTGACAGTACCCAGCCCACTGAATAGTGTCTTACTCATGGACACTTGGACAGATGTATGGGAATAGTAACACAAGAAATTAAACTTGATATTAAGAGATTAAACCCTGTCATGCTGGGCTTAAATCATCACTGCAGAAGCTCACAGTTGAAAAATAATTAAGTAATATTTGAATCTGCTTCCAACAGTCAGATGAAAGTTACTAGAATTTTTAATGAAGTGTCACAAAGTTTGAATTTTCCTGATTTATAACAAAGAAGCCCATGAATTGATGATAATGGGTGCTTATGGCCCAAGCCTTGAAATACTGATAATCTCATAATTACGATATAATCAATGCATTGGTATTTAAAATGTCAACAGAGATCAACACCCTCCTACTAAGATCAAAATCGAATTAGATTAACACAACTTCAAAACATTTTTCACAAAACAATAGTTCGGTTACTGAGCAAAGTCAAAGAATGGATGAAGAGTTTAAAAAAATCAATGTAGAGTGTAATCCACAACACACCTGACTTTGGTGACATTGCAAGCAGAGGACTTGCCAGTACGCTGGTTTGTAACAAGGACAAACTCAACCTGGTCACCAGGTTGAAGACTGACACCGTCCTTCACTTCAGACACGTGAAAGAATAACTTTTTTCCTTCATCTACTTCATAGGCCAGAAACCCATATAAACCTTTGAACAATAAATAATGAATTACTAACAACCATACTACCACAGGAAACAACAGTTTTCACCAACATTACATTTGAATCAGACACGAAGACGATGCAACATTCACAAACCCTCATCTCACTCCTAGAGCAATATCTCGTCACCAACTTGCTAATAAAATGTAAACATAACTGAAATAACAAATTGACTCTCTCTTAAGCCATGTTAAAGACTTATAAGCGTAAAGCCACTGAAAATAATTTAAGAGCAGCAGGTGTACATATGTTTCTCCCTTTAATATCATACTTAAGGCCAGGCCACCAAATTTGCAGGCACATTACGACGAGGTTGCAAAAATACGCATTAGCTTCACCATGCCCGTCAGTGAGCCTGTCCATCTACCAACCTGCACATAAGAACTTGAGAATCATTACACAGACTTTTATGAAATTTTATACTAAGGAGTTTTAGTAAGATCCGTCAACACACTCCGCTTCTGGTTCAAATAGGGTAATAATAATAGACGCTTACATGAAGAACTACATGCAAGTGTCACCTTGAAAGGTCAAAGGTAATACTCTGGTGGTACAAACAGTCTTCCACACATGCAGAGTGATCTTCAGAGGTTTACGGCCATGGAACAGAGAGCTTCCTGTAATTATGAACGCTACTTACGAAACAGCATTCACAAACTGAAGATTTAGAGCCACTTACAGAGTGAATGCATCACAACTGTTACAATACATGCATATTTCATCACTCGTAATTTATAACGTAAAGGATTATGCAAAGGAAACTTAATATCTATATCATGTGCGAAGAAGGGATTTAAACTCTCATATCACAAGGCTGCTGGCCAGATTTTATCTGCAGATATAACAGTTTAGCAACATGCCGGTGTGAAGCGTGGTGCGTTGGACTGCGCATAAGCTGCGAAGAGTGGTCAATAAAGGTTAAATTTTAAATAAAGCTACACAGTTAAATATGGTAACTAACCTTTCACTGCATCAACAACAGCTCTTCTCTTCTTGCGAACAGCCATAATATTGGCAGCTCTGTTGTCAGAGTCCACCTGGAAAGTAACTGGGTCACCAGCTTGTAACAGTTCCCGCTTGTTTGCTAGCCCAGTTATACCAAATTCATATTCTGCTCCTTTCTCGTCTCCATCTGCAGTGGTAACCTGTACGAGGCCTGCATACTGCGTTTGGTCGGGGTTCACGCTACGCAAGGGTCTTATTACAATCCCTTCCAAGACTTCTCCAGCTGGAAGAGGCAACTCAATAGTTCCCTTTGGCAGAACGCGCACATTCTCTGCTGATAAGCAGGTACCTGATGAACCGCGTGTACCCAGATTGTATTCCACTTCAACGCCGAGCTCTAAACTGGTTGCCTCCCCCTCAAAGTTGCTGCAGAAGAAAGTACATACTCAATTACGAGGGACAGTCAAAAAGTTCCCGGAATTGTGGTATAGCACTGTAATGGTAGGACATATGGCAACGCTTACCTAATCACCTTCAAAGTAGGACCCTTGCGCGCGCACACACTTGCTCCATCGATCCTGCCATTGTTGGAAGCACCGGCGGAAGGCTTCGTTTGGAATCTTCCGGAGTTCAGCCGTCGCACTCGATTTGATGTCCTTCATGGTTGCGAAATGCGCCCCCTTGAGGCCCATTATCAGAGTAGGGAATAGCCAGAAGTCACTCGGAGCGAGATCCGGAGAGTATGGTGGTTGGGTGATGACGGAAATGCTTTTCTTGGCGAGGAATTGCTGCACAACCGGCGATGTGTCGAATGCGACGGCCGAACTCCGGAAGATTCCAAACGAAACCTTCCGCCGGTGCTTCCAACAATGGCAGGATCGATGGAGCAAGTGTGCGCGCGCGCAAGGGTCCTACTTTGAAGGTGATTAGGTAAGCGTTGCCATATGTCCTACCTTTACAGTGCTATACCACAATTCTGGGAACTTATTGACTGCCCTACGTAAAATGACAAGTGTATGTTTTCTACATGATATACCCTTCATCTTTTAAATGACACTAAAAGTATGGTGGCTTTAACTTTCCTCTCTTTAACAGCCTGTGTATTAAGTCATTTATTTCGTATACCTAAACTCTGTCACGTTCAAAGAACAAACATGTTTATTACAAGTGATTAACCACACGTGTGTTTTTGTGCACACTGAATGATCTTACTTTTTCACTATTTTTTTTAGGTATGGGCCAAATTTTTAATTATTATTTAGATGTGTGTTAAAAAAATTGGCACCCTTGCCTGAAATGGAAGAACACTTCACTGTCATGATCGATAGTCTCGATAAAGCCAAAACCATCCTTAAGGGCAGCGATAAAACCTTGACAGTGGGGCAGGCTATTTGACCGCCCTAATCCATTCTTTGTCTGATTCTGATTCTTGCCGACAACCTGCACATCAATCGCAAGCAGCTCCTTGTTCCGTTTCACTTGACAGATGTTGAATTCCACCTGTAATAAGACCATTATAAACTATCCTACTCTGAGCAGATGAAAGTACCCCCGCAAGATTTCCCCGTTGTTCTGTGTAAAAACGCAGACTCAAAGAAAAAAAATTCATATAAAATGCTATTTTACGCTAGAGATTTCTTTACAAATGGATAAATGTTTCAGCTTTCAAAGGAACCACATTTTATATATGAAACGCCAAAATGAAGTGTCGCATTCATAATGCAAAATAATAATTCTTTTTTAAGTTAAAATTTTTATGTTTCACACCACAAAGTACGTACATCATAACACTTCCCTGCAACAAAAACATTTTCTGCACAATCCGTAAATATTTCTTTCTTCGGCAATAATCCTTACCATCTGAAAGTAGAGTTATTTCATGCAGGCCAATTTAAGATTACATTTAAACGCATAAAAGTAAAATAAATAGAAGATTTGTTAATGTTACGACTCACCTTATCACCAATTCTGGGAAAATTCTTTGGATCACAATCTTTGGAGTAAAAGAAAATAGTTTTCTTCGTGCCATTAACTTGGTAATTGATAACACCTGATTCTGCAGATTTTTCACCAGTTCCTGGAGACTACAAGAAAGAAAGAAAGAGCGTAACATATGCAATATGCACAAGAACATAAAACATTACCATTTAGAACATATATCAACATGTGAAAGAAGTCTCTATGTTCACATACTAGGGCGGAAACTAACCTGGCTGCCAGTCTTAGCGGAACTGCAGGATCCCCAACCATTGGGTGCGAGAGGCGCTTCTTTGCCTACAACACCAGTCACATTTTTTTCAGTAATAGTCTCAAACTGAACTGTTCCTGGCGGCAAGTGTTTAATACGAATCGCACTCTGGCGACTACTGGAAAATGACGACTGATCCTGAAATCAAACAGCAAAGTCAACCTACGCTAAAACTAAAAATTCAAAGATGGAACCCATGAATAAAACATACAACTAATGGGAGCATGAAATAAATCACTTGCCGACTTACGATTATCTCTAATTACAATAATTCTTGATTCTGTCGATTACACGATATCTATCATTACGGTAATTCATGTGTGGCACCTTTCATGGAACACCAGAAATCACTGCTATAAGATATCCTACGTTAAGATACGAGTATGCAAGATATACAAAATACATATATCGCTGTGTACCTGGACAACAGTAAATTCTACTTCATCACCAACACAAATTTCACGCTCAACATCCAGAACTTCATTGAAGTGAAAAAAGAGGCGTGCATCTCTATCCGTGCAGCGCAGAAAACCAAACCCCTCTTTAAGCGCTGCCACAATGCCTTGTTCCCGGCGCTCTCCAGACACCAAGAATGATTCATCAAGCAGAGCGATGCTGGTGGCTCGGCGTAGCTGGTCTCGGCGATCGGTTGCCACTTGAAACTGCACCCAGTCTCCGTGCCTGTTTTAACAAACCAGATGTTTTCCTTTTGCCACAAATGCTACAAATATATACTTCTATAGCAATGAATATATTTGGTTTAACCCACAAACATACACACTACAGATATTAAGCAAAACATGTTTAAACAGCAGCTCGGAATTACATCGGATATGACGTTACGATAGCTACGAAGAAGTCGACGTTGCTCTTCTGGGTTGCGATGCCACGTGGACTGTTTAGAGGAGGGTGGTTTTCTAAAGTTGGAAGGACCAGGCAAAGGAAATTACCAATTAGAGACAAAGAACAGAAGGGAAGAGCTTCGTACTATCCTTTTTATAGAATTTCCACCCACCATCACACCCAAAGGCTAGTTTCTTTCTTTTGCCTGACACCCCCCCGAATCCACTCCAGTTCTCTGCATAGGGACCCACAGAATCTGAACTGAATGCTTCATTTCTTTGAAGTTTCTTTCCATCACTGCACTTACTTTAGAGTGAAGTCTCTTTTCTGATCCTTGTCTCCGAACGGCACCTCGACTTCTGAATGATCGGGCGCACGATAGCGGATACGTCCCGGTAAGGGGTCGCTCTGATGTCTCGGTTGCTGCCCCCGCTCCAATGGTTTCAGTACTTGTCCCTTCACTATGTCTGTACTCAAATCTTCAAACACCACACTGCCTGGATCCAGCTTTGTGATGTTGCAAGCTACTTCCTTACCCTGCATCAGTGGTTCAAGAAGCGTTCAACAGATCTGACATTTGCAACATAATATCTTCTAGCTACTCCTATAATCTTTACTCGAACACACAAATCATTCCATTCTCCATACAATTTGACGTAAAGATCATCAAAATACCCCAATATTAACAACCTAATACTAAATATATATTTCCTCTTCAATAACTGTACACTCTTTAAGTACTTAAACATAAAGCACTCACATTTCTGGTCTGGATAGTGAATTCAACGTCATCATTAAGTCGCAATTCCTCTTTCATTTTTGCCTCTGAGAAGTGGAAGAAGATTTCCTTAACTACGTCGGCTCGTTCGATGAAACCAAAGCTTTCCTTCATTGAGCAGACCACACCTTGGTATTTAACGGGATGTGCGGGGTTTTCCAGCCGAATGTGGCAGGCCCCCAAGTTACCACTGCTACAAACATAAAGCGGTCAACCAGAGGAGCGATGCCAAGCTAGTGTTATCACACAGAACTATACAGAAGATAAAATTTTTGACAACGCTAAATCAGAATTATATTAAACTTTACCGCTGATTGGTAGCTATCTGGAAGCTGACTTTGTCTCCCGAACACAAGGTAACATTGCCTTCCACATCATCTTTATTGTAAGGCAGGAAGAAGCACTCTCCACGGTTCTCATAACTGATTCGTCCTTGAGTATCACCGCCTGAGCCTTCGCTGCGCAGTTCTGTTGTTACTGTGCCTGTGACGCGCTCTTCGCTCAGCACCTGATGATGAAATCATGAAAGAGATCACCTAATTTGTGCGAACACCTGATAATCGAGTTGTACCGCAAATCATCTAATCAGTGAACAAAAAGATGAATTGTCTCCAAACGTGCACGTGTGCTACTTACAACTTCAGGTGCTATTTTTGTTACAGCACTTGCTATTGGTTTGCCAGTCCTACGGTCATATGTCATCTCAAATTCAACAGGATCACCAATCTTCAGATGTTCTATATTACCATTGAACTGACTGAAGTGGAAGAACAGACGAGCTTGACGTTCGCAGCACTGGATAAATCCATAAGAGTGCTGAAAAAAACACACACACAATTTAAGATAGATTTTGTATCATTTGACATCTGTTAATTCAAAGAAATATTTTAAAAGTACTGAAATCTTCATAGGCCCCACTCAATGGTACCTGCACCTTGTCGTGGTGGTGGGGCTTGAGTACCTCGGTGACCCCAAGAGCTACTGGTAGGGCCTCCCTAGCCAGATTGGTCGAGGGGGAGAGGTCAGACTAAGACAGGTACCCTGGTCCTCCAGGTTGGGGGTTGGTAAAAAGGAATATGTTTCGAGACCTCAGTCAAAGCCTCGGACAGACGGACCTAACAGAGGACCGAATGGAAGAGGAGAATTGAGGAAGCCATGGACCGAATATGGACCAGGGAGCCATAGAAGAAGAACTCTTCATAGGAAATTATGGAATACACACACGCAGTGAATACTGAAGAATTAACTTCTGTAGCATCCACAGAAAAAAAAACATAAGCTACAATTCTGGTTTTGACATAATGACAATAATACAACTTATGACCTTTATTTTTATATATTTTATCAATATTATATCATTACAGCTTACATATTAAATCAAAACTTTCCTTGACAGAAACCAGCTTCCTTACATGCATGCACCACACATACAATTAATCAATATGTCATCTGCCCCTTTTTCAATGTAATCATCACTAAAGTCAACGTACTTCTTCCATCAGTGACACAGGTGGTGAACTAAAGAATTGAAATTGTGTTCCAATGGCATAATGATGCTGTAACAGCTTCACTGATGTCAACAGAAAACTTTTTTAAAAGTTTCCCAACACAATTTTCAAATCACAGGAAGTCTAAAAACATACAAGAATACAAATTTATAATATTCTAGCTTTATAAATACTTTTATATGAGTGATATTTTATTTTTTATTTATTTAGTGTTCTGTCTGACGACAGGTCCATATGAACAGGATCCTTCCATCCTTTTCTCGGACTGGGACCTGTTCATATACGTTCTTGGCAGATGATCCAGAAGTGGTTTGCCATTCCCTTCTTCTGTGTGTGAATGGAGTAATTATTGGGATGCCACGGAGGAAAACTCCGGGCTGCCTAGACCACGGCCTTGCCCACCACAAGTTATAAATTCGGGCACCGCAATGGGGGCTGTGTCATAGCTCAGGTGGTTAGTCGCATGCTGCTCACCACTGAAGTCGGAGTGCACATATGGGGCTCGCAGCCAACTGCGTGACAAGGCGTGGGTTTCTCTGACCGGGTCCCTCGATTTTCCCTGTCAGTATATTTCCATCGTTGCCCTGTACTCACTCATGTATCACCCGCGGCTGGACAATGGACCCGCTGCTAGTGCCCGCAGGTCCATAGAAACAAAGCCTCACCCCTGAGTGATATATTGAACAATAAAAACAAAAGATAAAACCAGAATTACAGCTGCTGAAATTAACTTCAGAACAGAAAAATACACCTAGGACTACAAAAGAAATGAGGCATGCAAAATTTCAAGAAGTAAAAGTGACTGGATTCAAGACGCCAACAGAATGCAAATATACTCACTTCCCAAACTAAGAAATAAATTACAAAGCACAATTGCTATGCAAAATATGACTGCGTAAATGGATGAGAATCAGTAGAATCTCAGGTCCTCACGATGGCAATTTTGACGACGGTTATCTTCTGGGTTGTAGTGCCATGTAGTCTGGTAGAAGTTTACCAGCATTTGACAGGTACTTCCTGCCTCCATAATCACAGCAATGAGATGATGGAATAGCAAGGACCTCTGAAACGTTGGTAAAATTCTACCAGACTACATGGCACTACAACCCAGAAGATAGAAATCTTTGGACAAGAAACATATAAATAATAAGCACTCAGTTCACCAATTAACATTTCTAAATTAAAATTCCCTTAAATGGTAAATCCAAGAAGCAAGTCTTCCTTAAAAAAATGGTAAATGTTGCAGCAGTTAAAGAACTGCATTTTATGGATTGGAAGATTCATTAACATCTGTGATGAGCGCTGATTCCTATCCCCAATGAGATGAATCCAGTCAACAAAGAACCACCCTATTTTATTACCTTTCCATCGATACCCTCGTCTTCCAAGCAATATCCTCCCTTAAGGCTTTCCAACAAAAATTTTGTGTGCACTTACTTCTCCCTCATACATGCCCCGCCCATCTCATCTTCCTCAATTTTATTATCCTACTAACTTCCATGAAGCCTAGATATTTTCTCATGGTGCCCGTTATTCTTAATACTAATTATTTTTAGTGTTTCTTAAACCCAGTTCAACAACTGTGCCATTTGAGGTTCTCACAGTCATTATGAAGACGGATGTTTTTCTTGGTTATTGTGCCATGTCTGTCACCACTGATGAATGAGACAGCAAGCACCTCTGAAACATACGTAAACTTCTACCAGATTACTTGGTGCAACCACCCAGAAGACAACCATCTTCATGCCAAAGAGCTGCTTGTATCGAGACAGCAAACAATCTGACCAAATTCTTCGTTCTTTATGTAATAGTCATTTACATTCATATATATTACAGTGAATGACTGGTGGATATTTCACAAGCAATGCCATAAGGTGGCGAGAACTTTGGCTTATGCACTAATTAATGTTATGCAGTATTGCAGAAGAAAAAGTTGACAGTGGAACCACGGTTCCAAAGAATCTGACGTAAACACGTCTCTGTAATGTAATAATTCTTATATAAGATAAGTACTTGTGATATTCTAAAACGTTTTTACCAGCACAAAATTATCTAGTCTGCGACGCACTTCTTCTACAAGCGAGTCACAGCTCAGCTCTTTCCGCAATAATGAAAGCGAATTGTTGACAGCAGTAATGAAACAACAATGCCGAATAAACAGATGATGTAACAATTAGTTTCTTATGTAACATAATCATTGTTGTCGGTCCATATTTACACATCGTTGATATGGATCATACACATCTTCGTTACGCTTTTTTGCCGATTGACCCTTCTGTATAGAAGTATTTACATCAAAAAATATCTTTGCTAGAAAGTAAAATATATTTATGTATATGTTGTTATATAGAAAGGCTATCAGGAGCTCAGAAAATACAGAGTTGAATGATAGGATTATTAATGAATTGTTAATAATACGGAAGAAAGCTGCCATGGCCTAATTTAAATTAATATAAATATTTTCCTGGATGGCTTGAGGAAAATCATGAAGAACTTATCGTGATTACTGGTCTTCAGGTAACCATCTGACTATGTCATTCAGTGCCACATTTGTTGTTCCACATCAGAATGTCACTTTGGTAAAGCACTGAATTCTATGTCAGCCACTAAAATATAAAACCTTCTAACTCACAAATTTTTGGGCTGGCTCCAAGTTCAAACAAGAATTTGTCACACTCTGCATCCAGACATCATCCCAGGCACCATGTTCTCAAACATTCTTAAACAGTTTTTCCCCTTAACGTGAGAAACCAAGCTTCACATCAATACAAAACAAAACACCATTTCACTATTTTAATATTTCTGTTTTAGGTATCTGAAGTGCAAATTCAATCTGTTCATTTTTTCATAATTTCGATTTGACACAATCACTTTCAAATACCTCTGTATGCTACTGGACTATACTTACCAGTAACTTTTCAATGATGCCAGTTTCGCGCGTGCCTTGATTACCAAGTGCAGAATCGTTGTAACTGGAATTATTTGAGGAACCAGTAGTGTTTACTGAAGGAGATGCTATGTTGTCACCATTGTACATATTGCTACATCCTTCATTTCCTGTGAATGTGCCAATTGGGAACCTCCCACCTCCTCTTGCATTATTTGAGGTGGAGTATGAACTGTAATTGGGTGAGTAATGGTTGCTAGAAGTTGCCTTGTTACTATATGCATTATTAGGGGAGTCCTTTGGAGCCGATGAAGCAACTTGATAATGATTACTACTGCTATTGAAATTCGTTCCATTGGGGGAGCTGTGAAAACTTGATGACGTGGTGGAATTGTTGGGGATCGTCAGAGATTTGAAGTCCAGTATTGCAGTGTCAGAGTTCATGCTTGGCGGCTGGAACGATTTCCACTGAGGATTATTGGACATAGTCTTTGACAAGTTATCTTAGTTTGATTATCTCTGTACTTATAAACTTCGGCTTAAGAATGACGTATCACAGAACGTTTCTTTGAGTGAAGTATACCTATATGAATATAGTAGATATAATACAACATGTAGCCTGCTATAGGCCTTTTACATGGGGAAATGTACAAAACGTAAAAAACACAACTGCGGTTTCCTTACAGTTTCAGTTCAATCAACAGTTATTAATGCAGTGCTGTAATAATTCCAATAACGCCTACAACAAACACTGATTGCTAGTAAGAAGTCTGGAGTCACTTATGTTAATGGAGATCCTAAGTGAGAAAAAAAGTTGGCAAAATCCTCAGATGTCTTCAATGCGTGCTGGGTGCGGATTGTGTTCGGCTTATTTTTAATCCTTGATCGTTGTTGAACGTTTTCTAATCTAACAAGTACACAAGCTGAAACAAAATAAAAACAACTCAATGTACTCTCCATGTTGATATAAATTTCAATTTTAAAATGTTACACATGCAGCAAACTACAAAAACAATAAATGATTATTGCCTAGCTTATAGTTTACTTATAAAAACTTTCATCGCAATACAAAACCGTTTCATAATGTCTGAGAAACTGTATGTTCCGGTTGTTTTGTGGGCCATTGAATACAACGCACATTAAGGTACAAACACATTCGCGTACTTTCACCTTACAATTTAAAGCAATGATAATTTATATTATACCGCCATCAAGGGAAATGTTCTTCTGTCTATAAACTAACACCGGGAAACAGACACAACTTCGGAGTTCAAAAGGTTGCTATACTAGTAAACTAGGAAAAGCTGCAATGTCTTCTTCGTTAATATTTTGGAATAAGAATATTCCTATACATACATAATACAAATGTCATAAAATTATAAAAATAGGATTCCTTGATGTTATTATATAAAAATATGTATTATAATATATAAATACCACTCTTATAATAGAAATATTTTAAACGAACTCACTCACCACGACACAGCACAGCACTGACGACATGCCGCCATGTTGAATGTCAACAGTCGAACACGAAACACTGGAAACTGTCTTGGCTCTCATTGGTCATTGTCTATTACGTCTACAATATGGAAGCAATATTTCACGAAAAGGTATGGATAAATAATTTAATGTCTTATTATGTGTTTGGTTATGAAGTGTGTAATTGATGCTGTACATAATTTTTATTGATATGCGTTTTGTTTCTCAGTTCCAATAACCTATATCTCAAATGAGAATATGTTTCAGTTGCAGAACAACTCTAACTGTTTGTCATAATTTTTTTGATTGCTTGGACTTGGGAATAAATTACTCCTTCTTATGTGTAGTTTCGTGTAAAATAATTATTGTACTTAGTAATTCCTTGTCTGTGATTTCTACAAATGTGTGCTTTTATTTCAGTACATAATACATTAATTAACTGATGTTATCTGATTGCTCATTTACATTTTTGCAGCAAGAGGGTTCACTTTGTGCCCAACATTGCTTGAATGCATTGCTGCAAGGCTCATACTTCACACCTGTTGACTTGGCAATCTTAGCACAACAGATGGACGATGAAGAGAGGTTGAGAATGGCAGAATCTGGAATAGACAGTGAAGACTATAGACGCTTTTTAGAGGTGATTAGATTTGTTCTTAGAGTAGTCAAGCAGGTATAAGATTACATAGATCCAACATTTTGGATGAAGGTACTTATACCTTCCCTCATCACACAACCCACAAGAGGCTCTTTCCACCAAGGGGAAGCCTCGCCCATTTTTTACAGTTCCACATTTCATTTTCTATAGGATAGTTATTCTTTGTTTCATTCCTCCCACAAAGATTTTATCATTCTGTGTGTCTCAAATAGGACAATTTCGTGCTGCTTGCATTCCTATCCATCTTACTTAGACAAGACACCTACCTGAAAGAGACTGACATTGCATAAAACTTCTTCCTTGGGAAATTAGGGAGGGAAGGATAGCAGCCTGTTAGGTTATAAGTATAGTAAGTGCGTCTATTTGGCTAACATAACCTATTCTTACTTCACAGTAGATCACAATTGTTTCCTGCACAGTCCCCCAAAAGTTGTTTGTACTTATACAAAAGATCATTTGCGCCTGCACACATTTTAATTACATCAAGAAGATAATATTAAAGCTGATCTTAGGAAAGTAGGGTTGGAGGGTGAAGATTGGACACATCTGGATCAGAGAACAATGGCAGCCTCCTGTGAATACTAGTAAACCTTTGGGTTCCATTAAAAAGCTGGGCATTTCTTAATCAATTTGCTGCTAATTATTCTATTGTCTTTCAGTATTAACCACCAAGTCCATATTGAGAGAATATGTGTTGGTATCTTCTGTGGCCCTCTTTACAAGAAAGCGCACCTCAGTTTCTAATATCAAGTTTTTTCTATATGTAATATTTTTCTTCAGGAATTCTTTGGTCTTCGAGAATTACATTACAGTCAGTAGCAAGATGTATGTCACTTCCAATTGTTGCAGCAACCATCTGGGAACTATGATGACAGTGGATATTTTTCAGTACAAGTGATCAGTAGTGCTCTTGAAGTGTGGGGTTTGGAGCTGATACCCTATAATAGCACGGAACCGAGAGCGTTAGAAGCACAGCAGTGTCCAGAGTAAGTACCTTCTACTTCATTGGTGTTCATCCTTGATGTGGTTTTAATATGAATTTAATAATTCTCTTAAGTAATTATGATATATTAAAATTGTCACTCATGTTTTAATATTGACACATGCACGTAGTGATTGGTCTGTCTTCCCTTCATGCATTTACAATTTCCATAAGATGGACTGAATTTGGTTTTGAGTTTTTGGTATGAATAATTTACTAGTGTGACAATTCATAATTTGTGTTGCTCATTGAAGTTCTCAACAAATAATACAGCAAAAATTTTGCTGACTCATTTTCTATGGAAAATTTTTCTTCAGAATATTCAAGAGTAAATGTGGATGGATCAACATTATGAAAAATTGTATCGTGTTATTGTTTTAATAATTTCATGTGAAATGTGAACAATCATTTTGATGGTTTGAATACCACTTTAATCATTCACATATAATATGATAATTTAATTTACAGAGCAATGCAAGCTTATATCTGCAACTACCGTGACCACTGGTTTACAATTCGTCGCCTTGGTCAGCAGTGGTTCAACTTGAATTCATTGCTGACTGGACCGGAGTTAATAAGCGACACGTATCTTGCAATGTTCTTGGCACAGCTACAACAGGAAGGTAAATTTTACCAGAGTTTTCATTTTTAGGACTTGGATAAACATGTTCTAGTGTCCCTTTACAGTGAAGTTCATTTGCATATGACAGCTTTCATTACCACACAATCTGACACATTAGAATCTACCTACAAGTCCGCGTGGAGTTACGACATAGTAGACGTACATGCACAATATTATTTTATAATGTTTATTTGTTGATAAAGTCTGCGAGATGTCAGAACATGTAGTACACATGCAGAAAGACGAGTTTTACATAAACGTTTAGTCAGAAAATACGAAGATCTGCGCGTAAATGGGAGGTTAACGTTAAACATTAGTTTAAATAAAAAGCATTTGAGAATGTGGATTGGGTTCAGGTAGCTTAGGATAGGTTCTTATGTTGGACTCTGGTGAACATGGTAATGAATATTTGGAGTCCGTAAAACGTGGGGATTTGGCGACTAGCGAAAAACTCGGTTACTCAAGGACTCTGCTGCATAGTACTTTTTTTTCCCTTGTTTCAGGTTACTCCATTTTTGTAGTGTTCGGATTATTTCCTGAATGTGAAGCAGATGCCTTACTAAAGTTAGTTCCAGCAGTTCAAAGTGTGAAACCACAATTTCTGGGATTAGTAAAGGGTCAGAATGCAAGCAGCATGGCATCTAATCATGACAGAAGTTCAGAGGAGGATTTGCAGCGTGCTCTGAAATTGAGTTTAGGATCACACGAGAACCAAAAAGAGGAAGAACCTGAGCAGGACACATCCTTGCAAGTGCCCATCTCACCGAGCACGAGAAATGCAGGAACTAAGTCTAACGAGAGTACAGACAACCGGGATGACGTCGACCTGCAGAAAGCATTACGCCTTAGCCTCAAAGGCCATGGGCAAGTTTCATCTTCAGTACCTCTGAAAAGTACCAATGATGACGAAGAAACAGAATTAAAGCAAGCTCTCAGACTAAGCCTTCAGGGTGCCAGTCCAGTCTCAGAACATGAAGACCTAGATTTAGAAAAGGCTTTGAAGATGAGTCTTGAATGTAAGTCATCAGCTATTATTCAGAAACCTAACATAAAGTATTCGCAGCAAAGACCGAGACAAGGCTGAAGCAACTGAAGTATAAATCTCTTGAAGAGTTACTTTTCAAATTTAAAAAGAGACAATGCTGTAAGAAATATGAGAGTATTCACAGTAAGAAACACAAATATAAGTAATTACTATTTTGAAATTTAAATGTTACTTTTTTCACGTATATGGATGGCAAAGCAGTTGCGTATTGGATGCAATACCTTATTCCAGTTCCAACAAAGAGCACCAATAAGTAATGAAGTCAGCACTCGGGTATTAGAACCAAACATTTCTGATCCTGGACATCACGTGTTTGAAACTTTCTTCACTACTGCCCTACCTTAAAATCCGCTATTCAAGACCTGGTAACGGAAGGCTTAAGACTGCCCAGAAAAGACAAATGAGACAGACTTATGGAGTAGCTCTTGAAAAACATAAAATTTTCCTTAAGATTGTGTTTCACAGCCTTCAAGCCCTGGAAGTAATGTAGTCTGACAATTCTCTTAAAGGTTGCTAACTTATATAATCATTATTTTATGGCGACCTCTCTGTTAAGACTGAAGCATTCAAACAAAAATAGGCGTCATAAGTTACGCTAAACACTTTTAGTTTAAGTAGCATGCTTCGTATGTCAAGAGTATATTTTATGTTGCTAGTTTAAGTACCACCAATTTCATCAGATTGTAGTTTTCACAGCGGTGAGTATGAAGATTTCTGTCTTCTGGGTTGTTGCACTGTGTGGTCTGGTCGATGTCAACCAACGTTTCAGAGGTCATACTGCCTCCATCATCAGGGTGATGAATATGCCAATAGGGTGTGTGGGGCTAGGTTTATAGGAGCCGGACTGTGAATGGAGTAGCCTGCTCTGAGCCAATGGGAGCAGGCGTGGGAGTGGACCAATAGGAGCGCGTGGGCGAGTGTGAGAGAGGGGGGCTCTGGAAGTGCGTCCGGTGGGACATCTGGAGTTCGGTTGAATGTGATCGGGGCCCTGAAAAAGGGGCCAGGTTAGTGGTCTGGTTGGTTCTGGGCTCTGGAAGTGCGTCCGGTGGGACATCTGGAGTTCGGTTGAATGTGATCGGGGCCCTGAAAAAGGGGCCAGGTTAGTGGTCTGGTTGGTTCTGGCGGTGCACTCTGGATCGCTCTCAAGCCCTCGAAGAGTGTGAATAAGTGGCTTCCAGGCTACTCCATTCACAGTCCGGCTCCTACAAACCTAGTCCCACACACCCTATTGGCATATTCATCACCCTGATGACGGAGGCAGTATGACCTCTGAAACGTTGGTTGACATCGACCAGACCACACAGTGCAACAACCCAGAAGACAGAAATCTTCATACCATCACATTCATCAGATTGTAGTTTTCAGCTTCAACGAATTGTCCATATTTATCGGAAAATGATAGTGGAAAAGGTTTGCAAGTTAGTCAACTTTTAGAAGATATCAGAATTTTAATCTCTGTTCTGAATTCCATAACAATATTACAAGTTCTTGGCTTAGCATCTGATGCATTTCAGGCTGTGATCCTCCCAGTAGCTGTGAAGGGTGCGAAGCCAACAGTTACGGAAGCTGCGACCCAAGAAGCTCGAGTGAAGTCGTCATTGAATCGAGGAATGCAACAAGCTGTGTTGACGCAGAGGATGTTAGAAGGAAACGTTTGGCATACCTTGAAGCTAATGCAAGACGGAACACTTCTGCTACCACCAGCAGTGGTGGGAATACAAAGAGCCCAGTCAATACTTAGTGCCAACATTGACATAGTCATCTTGGTTCTAGTCATAACTTGTTACTTTCCATCTGTGTGAAGGGATAACTTATCCACGTAACCGCTTTACAAGCGAAAATGCTTAAAAAAACAACAAGAGAAATAGACTAAATGAGTGATGGGCAGAAAGGAAGCTATAAATTAATTTGAATATTCATATTACTTGTACAAATGGTACAACAAAATTGTAACTTTTTATAAAAGCTCACATTCAGATTAATTTATAGCTAGCTTTTCTACAAAGCAATAATTTCTTTCCTTCTTTCTTTCCAAATCAATTTTTATTTCAAACAAGCAATGTATATTTGTATAAATCTTGTTATATTTGTTGTAGCATTGCTGCAAAAATAATGTGAATTAATGTCCTAAATCATAGTGTATAAAATATTTTCAAGAGAATGTTATGTGCACTAATGAACTAATTTAAAATAATGTTTTCATAAAGAAACTTTGTAATTTTATATGCACTGTAACCAAGAGTTTGTAATTCGGATAGTTACAAAAGTACCTGTCTCATACGTTATAAACTTGAGGTACGACAGAAGCCTGTATAAATGAAGAAAAACAAAAATACGCTTAAAAGTAAATAGATTTTCCTCCGACGGTGTACCGAGTCATACAACAGTAATTTCTTTGGTAACGGTGACAGACAGAATTATGTTTTAAAAACAGTAACATTTAATTAAGGTAGTTTTCTGTTACTGTCAGCTCCTTTGTGTTGTGCGATTCTATGCTTCAGTTTCTTTGTTTTATGGCAAAATTTATTTGCAACATACAGAGCCATTTCCTGTTCAAATGTGCAAGCCCTACTGTCAAGTGTCTGGTTACGCAAATTAAATTCAGTAGTAAAAGTTTTGAAGTACAAGACCTCATAAATTAATACTATGATCATAATGAGAAAATTTTGTAACTGAAATGTGTCCATTATAAAATTTCATAAAATGAATGTATCCGTTTTTAATTTTGAAACTTATAATTATGAATTTCATTTGGCTGTTAATCATTTTAATTGTTTAAGATAAAAAATATATAACACTTGTTTGCTTAGAAACCATGTAGCACTATTTGTATATGACATTAAAACTATTCGGCACATACGTTATTACTAAGCATGTCACTGTAATTATGATGGATGAAATGAAAAACTCTCTCATAGCAGAACCCAGAGGATCAACACCATTAATACTAAAAGATTATCACTGAACATCATCCTGAACTCATTTTATCTACCTCCAATCCTCATCACCAATTTCCCTGAAAGAAACATAATGTTATCCTTCCATTTACTTTTTGGTCTTCAAAAGTTTTCCCACAAAAATGCTGCATGATTTTTGTCTTAACAACCTGTAAAGTGCCTCAATACAGAATACCCTAAAATTTTAATTCACAAAATAACCTACAAAATTAATGCATATAATTTTATTATTTTTGTTTGCTAGAATGGGTCATCTCTCTGGCTTGTGGGTCAGTAGATATATTACTGAAGACCTACGTGTCACTCTTGGAACTCATCACTGTAACCTGTGAGAGATATCAGTTCTCCAGTCGCTGGTTGATATTTTGCCTCCGATTGCTCTGATGCAGGCAAAGGTTTTCCTCTTTTATTGTTCAGTTTGTGGCATAGTTTTGCAAGCCGCCTCTCTACCTTCTGCTTCTCAGTGTACAATTTCTTATACTCCACTGCTGCCAACTGTAGTCGCGACTTCAACTGCTGCTCTTCCTCGAGGCATGTATTCATTTCCAGTGCATTTTCGCTACCAGACTGCTGCCAAAAAACAAGTGTACAGCACATTTCTTGTAAGCATAGGAGTAACTAAACATAAGATAATGTCTAAAAGAAAGAACAGAATCCGGGACACTAGCCAGAAATTATCTTCTCTTGCATTCTATCACATATTCATGATTTTAAGAATTGTTTACAAATAAAAGGTATAGACTGTAATAAGATCAATATGTCATATTACATACCAATTCATCTGTTATACTGGACTGATACAGACCAAAATTAAATGTCTAAAATGACACCAGTTGATGGGCGCACAAGACATAAAGAACGTAAAACTTGTATGATGGTGTTCTGATCCTTCGTCAGTTTCCCAACTCTTTCATGAAGACTTTAAAGAGTAAACAATTTCAAAATTAGTGCAGACACAATAATTTTTTAAAATGTCTTACATACGAGGTGCGATCGGAAAGTTTACAGACTGCGCCTATAAAAACACGTACACTTATCTCAGGTATTAAATTCATCCATCACCCTCGAAGTAGTTCCCCTGGGAGTGAACACAATGATCCCAGCGCCGCTGCCAAGCCTGGAAGCATCCCTGGAAATCTTTCTTTGTCAGCCTGTCAAGCACCATCTGCGATTCTGCCTGAATCTCTTCTATCGTCTCAAATCTCCTTCCCTTGAATTTTCATCTTTCGGAAGAGGAAGAAGTCACACGGAGCTAAATCCGGCGAATAAGGAGGGTGCAGGATGACGGCCATGGTGTTTGAGGCCAAAAACTGCCGAACTTTGAGGGCGGTGTGCGCTGGCGCGTTGTCATGATGCGTCGCATGTGGAGTTCTTCCTTTAGAATCAGCTCACAGGTCCCATAGCCTATCCCAACAAGGTCGCACAAGTCGTTGATGGTACGACGATGGTCGATCTTCGTGAATGGCCTGCCGAATCTTCCTAACATTTTCGGGCGTTGTGCTCGAAGATGGTCGTCCAGAACGCTCGTCATCATCGACAGAGGTTCAGCCATTTTTAAAACGTGAATGCCACACAAAAGTTTGTGCACGACCCATTGCGGACTCCCCAAATGCTTGCTTTAGCATTTCATAGGTTTCCGTAGCCGTTTTGGCAAGTCTTTGGCAATAGGCCGAACCCCCTAGCGGCAGAAGCTCGTACTACATCCGGTTCGCCCTCTATTGACACAGTCTTGAAACTTTCCGATCGCACCTAGTACAGGCACTTCCAAATAGTGTTAAGACCGAGATACTGAACCCACCTGTTCTTGCAATCTGCTAAGTTCTTCCAATTTCTGCTGCAGTTTTGCTTTATCGTTCACTGCCGAAGCCAATTTTTCCTTTCTAGTGCACCCAGTTGCAAGCATTTCACTGTTCTGATTTAGAGTATGATCCAACTGATTGTGCAGTGTTACTAATTGGTCTGCCTGTTCCTGCACCATTTCAGATTCACGTTCTTGTAACTCAATCAGCTTGTTATGCAGTTCTTCCTCATGTAACTTGAACCTTCAGAGTAAATATTCAGAACTCAAAATTATATCCAACATTATTCACAATTATGAGATAAGAAATACATGTAGCAACCTGACTTGCTAACTCAATATACAGGGTGAGTCAAAGGTATGTTTACAAACTTTGTGTATGTGTTCCTGGATCAAAAATAAGAAAAAAATGTTCCTATGAACACGTGGTCCCAAATGCTTCTTTTTAAAAATAATAGCCAAAAATAAGTTTCAATGTATGCCTTTACTGCCAAGTATAAAAACAGGGATGTTTCTTTATAACAGATGCCCAAAGGTTGCTCCTCCATTCTCCACACATGCCCAAGCATGTCGTACACAAGACTGACTGATTCGTTCGTACACACCAGGGTTTCCTCGAAACATCTGGCACACATTCCCATAGATCGTCTTCATTGTTTATGGGTGTTGCATAAACGACGGACTTCAAATGACCCCACGGATAAAAGTCCAATGGAGTCAGGTCCGGTGATCTCGGTGGCCATGCTACTGGGCCACCGTTTCCAATCCATCGCTGAGGGTACTGTTCATTGAGATGATCTCTGACGTGACGGAAGAAGTGAGCTGGGGGCTCTGTCGTGCATAAAACACATTTGTCTTCTTGTATTCAGTGGTACATCTTCAAGAGACGTGGCTAGTGTCTTCTTAAGAATCGCCGATATGAAGGTCCTCTTAGATGTGATGGAAGCATGTGTGGACCAATAAGCATGTTGCTAACAATTCCTGGCCAAACGTTAATTGAAAACCGTTGCTGGAAGCTGGATCCACTTTGACATAGTCATTCATTGAAACTTATTTTTGGCAATTATTTAGGAAATGAAACATTTGTGAACCCCATGTTCATAGGAATATTTCTTCTTTTTGATCCTGGAAAACACACACAAAGTTTGTAAATATACTTTTGACTCATCCTGTATATATGTGGTAGTAAATACCAAGATAACTCACTCATATGCATGCACACATACACATTTCAGCACACTAAATCAATCTTTCTCGTTAAAACATAAATAAAAAGAAATACTCTTGTTGAAACAGGAATTAATGTTAAATATATGCTATTTGAGATTCTCACAGTAGTGAAAATGTCCACGCTGGTCTTTTGGTTGTGATGCCACAGGCACTTACTGGTTATTATTTATTTAGTCTTCTGTCTGACGACAGGTCCATATGAACAGGATCCTTCCATCCTTTTCTCGGACTGGGACCTGTTCATATACGTTCTTGGCAGATGATCCAGAAGTGGTTTGCCATTGCCTTCTTCTGTGTGTGAATGGAGTAATTGCTGGGATGCCACGGAGGAAAACTCCGTGTTGCCTAGACCACGGCCTTGCCCAACACAAGTTATAAATTTGGGCACCGCCTGGAATCGAACCGGAGACCCCAGGATTACAAGGCCAGCGTTCTAACCGCTAGACCACCGTATAAATGAATAAATAAATAAACAAACCAACGTCTTGGAGGAGCATACTGCCTCCATATTCAGGCATTAAAACCAACAAGACCAACATCAATAATGTTAAATATTTCACATACTCATTCTTCCTTTCCAAAGCATCGGACTGCTGTTGCAATAAGACAGACGTTTCATCTTCCAACTCCTTCATTTGCTGATCAATCTCAGTGATCCTCATCTTGTAGCTTGCCACAAATGATAATAGCTCATCAACACTCTCCTTCAAGCTCTCTGCATCCGAACTATCAGAGAAACTTCCCATCAGATAACTATTCTTTTGACGTCTTTCTAAAGATGTCAAGTTTTCGACCATTTTGGCAAGTTCGTCCTCCCGTACGTCACAAAAAGTTGACATATCAGTTCGCTCACAACACAGCTTCATTTTCTCAAAATCCAGTTCTGAAAGTCGCTCAGCTATCGCATCGATTCTTTGCAGCTGCACATTCCTATTGGCTACAATCTCCTTATGTTCTATTTTTAGGTCCATGATTCTGTGAGCTAAATCTGTGGCAACTTCCTTGAAGTGGGCCTTTTTCTCACACTCGTTATTTAACATTTGCAGCTGTAATTTTAAAGAAGATACTTCATTTTCCAGCTCCTTTAAATGTGTGGCGAGACATTCATTATGGTCCAGCAACTTCTTCTCCCTATCAAGAGCCTTTGCCAAATTATCTTCCAAACTTGCTTTCTCACCCATTATTTGTGCTAGAGATTGCTTACTTTCAGAAATGACACATTCTGCTTCTACAAAGTCCTTCTTTAAATGATTTTTCTCAACAATTTCTGTAGTTCTCTCTTCTGCCTTTTTCTCGGGCCAAATGATATTCGTCTGCAAACCTGAAGTCTGACGTACTTCTTTTAAGCGCCTTTTATATACTTCAGTTACCATCAATACTTCTCTCTCTGTGTTACGTACTGCCTCATCAAGTTTCCTTAACAGACATTCCTTCTCTTTTTCTAGAACACTCATCTGTTCTATCTTCTCTTCTGAAGTCTTCTCAGCACACAAAGTCTGCTCCTGAAGTATAACATTCTCTTTCTGCAATTCTAAAAGTAAAACAAAACAATCATTACAAAACATACCAATACACTGCAACCATCTCACACAACTTGTGCCACCATCACGAGATCAACATCTATTAAAGCTACTAAAAGGTTTCAGAGGCGTGCGTATTTACCCTTGAAGATGTAATGTATTTCTATACAATTTTAATATTGTTTCCAAAATGTCAAATTACAGTCTACGATAAACCTGCAAATGCTTACTGTACCATCATTATTAATTATTCTATACAAATAGGTTTGTATACTAATACATTGATTTTTCTACCACTTTCAGTTTGTGGTAATGTGCATGGCATAAAATGTTTCCATATTATTCTAACTAATGTGCTTTAGTTTAGCATATAAATTCCATCTTGAATCATACAGAGTATTCATCTAAGTAGGACATCCAATTTGCTTTATATTTCACAAGACTGTGCACCACTTCAACATATATTATAAAAATATTGCACTTTTAATCTACCTGTCGTCAGACAGAACACTAAAAATAATAAAATATACCATTCTCTACTGAAGTCTCTTACATCTGCGAAAATCTCACGATCGACGTGTAATGCTTTCTCTGAACTAAATACAACATAGCAGAACACAAAACACTTTAAAAACTTTTTACTACCCTAATGTTTGACAAATAAAAAACTGTTTGGGTCATTTGTAAATTATAAAATCAAATGTTTCATCATAATTCAATAATGTGACACATGCACGAAGAAGCTCAAGTGTATCTGATACAATAATTAGAAACTCATTGCAGATGAAATGGAAATTAATAATGTCTCGCATTCTTAGCACTAAAATGGTTCCATTCATGCTTTTCAACTAAAATTTTATGTAAACTACATTCTACGGCATTAATAATCGAAGAAATTGCACCGTCACTGCCATACCTAAAAACTCCGCTCAAAATCATTTTGTAAACATCCCTTCAAAACTCACAGACCACTTCTAGAATTTAACACAGTTTAGTGCATATTCAAATCCAGATCCTGCCGGTGTTTTATATTCACTTCGGACAGAAAGTGTTCCATTATTTCCTAGTCTTTACGAATAGCATTTGGAAGAAGTCGATGCAAGTGGCCCATCCCACATCCAATATCAAGTGTCTGAACACGCCAAGAATTCCAAATTACCTTCTATTTTGTTCTGCTGTTCCCTGCTTTCACTCTCCAAACGCTGGACATCTTGTTGTAACTTCAAACAAACAAGCAAACAAACAAACAAACAAACAAGAATAAAAGCTTTATTTAATATTATGCAACAAATATAGAAAAAGCTGAGTTGTACTTTCTTGCCAACTGCCTGCTGCATTTGTAGCTCCTGCGTCACCAGTTCCTTGCTCTGACTCAGGGCTTCCAACATACAAGTTAGGCTGTCGACTTGGCCCTTTAATTGGCAAATTTCGGCACCGACACCACCTGATTTGTTCTCACTCAGTAACAGCTGAGCCATAAACTCCTTGTCCTGGAACATATAAAGAATTATAATTTCATTGTAATGAAAGCATAATTTTATAGTGGTTATAGTAACAGTAAAAAAAATTAAAAGCAGTCCCGCTACATGCCATGTAGGTCGTTTGGGGGAGGGGGAAATAGCTCCTAATCATTCTTGACCTTGGCAATAGATGCGGTTGAGTGGTTAGCATCATGCCCTGGCCACGCTTTACCCCTGGGAAAGGGACCCGGTACCCATTGGACAGGAGGCCGGGTGGACCCCAAGGCCAATCTGGACACAGAGGCTACCCGCTGTCCTACATGAGCGATTAAATGTGAGCGGCGCGAGTTGCGTGGGTGAAGCGGAAATATCAAACTGGCTGTTTGCGCGGCGCTGTCCTAGCTTCCAGGGAAGTGGTCAGGAGAGGGAAACGGCCAAAGTACGAGATCAAATATTTTGATATTTTCGCGCGAGTCGCTGCACTGGCCAGTAAGGCGCATGTGCAAGAAAGCTCTGAGCGTGCAGTAGAGGGAAGGTTCTTGCGCAGAAAGGCCGTGTGCTTCTATTGCGGTCTCTCACGTAGGACACAACAAGCGATTCCCCGCTGCTTATGCAGCTCGCACAGCTTGCTTGTTATCGCTTACGTAGGCCATTGCCTTAGCTAGTCACTATACTGAATGAGCTATCCCAGTCACCTTCTTTATATTTAAAGAAAAATAATATAAATGTTGAATTGCAAGCACTACCCCAGGTAGTGACAGCTTTTGGCTCAGAGGGTACAGTCCCATTTCATACGCACGTTACAAATACCAGGCTACCAAATCTTGTCTTGAAGGGTGACTCCATAGCATTAACTTGTGTCATCCTTGAGTTAAAATTTACTTAAAAGTCTGGCTAGCAAGCCTCAATACAGGAGACTACGCTCTCCAATTCACGTATGATAAAGGTTAAGGCGAATTAACAGTAATGAATATTTCATTGCACAACATTTCATCAGATTACTCACAGCACTTAAAGTATCCACAGTGGCTGTAAGGACTTGGACGTCATGTTCTGCTTTGTTCAGTCTGGCGAGGCACTGGTTCTTCTCTTTGTCATTTACAAGTAGATCCTGCTTCAGGCATTCGACGTAACGCTCCATACGCAAATTTTCCTCCAGTCCATCCTCAAGTCCCTGCATCATAATTAACCACTGTTATAAGTATTCTTTCTCAAATGTTTAACTTTTTTCAGTACTTGATCGAAAGACCGTGTAAACAGAAAATAAAGCACGTGCCTGTTTTTCATTTTCTAACTTTGCGAGCGTCTCCATGGCAGATTGAAGTTCTGTTGACACTTTGTGGTATTTCTCTTTAAAAATCTGCAACTCCTTTTCCAAGTTCCCTTTCTCCTTCTGCAGAATTTCATTTGCTACAAAAACCTTCAAACAGAATAAAATTATGTTGATATACATGCATATACTTTACAGAAAAAAGTTCGCTGTTCATCCAAGGGATGTCAAAAGAGAAGCAAACATGGACACTTTCAGGTGCCAAGGTTAGGAAAACCAATTTACACAGAAAATGTGAGGTTATAATATCTATTTACAAGTCCACAAGGCATTAAAACTAAAATGAACATTGACAATTTACATAGGAATCTTATGAGTGTTTAGTCGTGGAGAGGGCTAAGGAGATAACCCATTCCATTCACCTCTCTCAGCTTCTCTTCGGTAAAAGCTGTCCTGGATCTCACCACCACCATACCATCTGCCTCCTCCACAACACACAGTTCACTCTCAAAAAGCGGGCAAAACTGGAATGGGACGCTGGCTCCACGCACTCGGCCATTTCTCGTCACATAGCAGAGCTGATAGAACTCATTCTCATCTTTGGGGAGTTGGCTGGCTGTACAATACAAATCATATGATACGAACTTTCCAAACTATACAACACTTAAAATCCGATTATCCAACAATTCCCTCATCTAAGCCCAGGAATGAATAGAACATGAGCAACCATTTTATGCTGACATAACTTAAATGAATAATTATAAATTCAAATAATTATAAATTCAAATGATTGAACATTTACCGCAATTACTAAATCAAATTAGTTCTGTATCTGGATAATTTTCAGGGATCTTTATACACTCACCATCAGAAATTCCCCACTACAATCAGCACTGGTTTGAAACACAGTTGTTTTCAAAGAGGAATTTAAGTAAACCTTACATTCGTCACCTTCTTCCCTGATGTTAAATCAAGAAAAATAATTCTTATCTAGTTGTTTATCAAATGTCAATAAAAATTCAAACTTAATGAATTCTTAGCAAATAAAATTAGTTATTCCTTCACGGACTTAATTTGGATATTTCTGTCAATTATTGATATGGAGTCCTTTGGTGTGGACAGTAACATTAATTATAAAGTACACTTTAGTCATCATTTAAAATTTTAGATTCTCATGGCAGTGAAGTACTGCAGGTGGTTACCAAAGTTTTGGAGTAACATATCAACTGCATTCCCAAATTTACCATACTCAAGCCTAAACATAACCAAAGAAATACCTTTGAACAGAACCTGAAGTTCAGTTGCATCTGTCTCTGGTACACATTCAGACACAATGTGTTCCTGGACAGAGGTCCATCCTACACGGTACAGGGCAATTCTATCCCCATCTGACACAGTGACCCCATCAGTCAGAGAATATCGGCAACAGATGTCTGCATCAGTTGGGTATGTGTCTGCTATATCGTGAAATATAACCTGGAATCAACAAAATCACGAGAAGACCAAAGTAATCAACAGGAACTGTCTACTGCTACCAACAAATTGTCATTACCATAAACCTGTCAGCAAGTTGGTGGGAGCAGCTCTCACAAACACAGTTCTAAAACCCTTCCTGTCACCAATCTGAAGGACTCAGTCAATGTAAAAATCATAATTTACAGCAACGTAATAGGGTTCATTCTCCACATATTCCACTATGTTTTCCAGCATTCACTATCAACATTCTTGACTGTAAATTCTCAAAAGTTTAGGCTGTCTTATCAAACACTGCTTTAGATTCCTTACCTTGGCATACTGTGACTGTGAAATTATCAAACTTTGTCCACGCTCTGCAACATGTGAAACTGTCTCTTCCATTCTATAAAGAAAACCAATTACTTAGAAATATGTCATGAATTACTAACAACTCTAGGTTTCATGATGCTTCCAGCACATCTTAATGACAAATTCACTCTGTATTAGTCCTCTGTTATATGAAAATACAAGCATCATGGACTTCACACCTCAAACAGTAAATGATTACCCTGTAAAGGTGTTATATATATCCAATTACTATACAGAATTTGCATATGAATGACACACATACAGACCACTATAATCTTCGTGCCTTTGAGATACCACCACAACCACATAGCAGCAGCTGCTCATGCACAGACTGAAACATCATTACATTTCTAATGTGCCTCCGCATAAAACCTAGACACTACACCTGCTAACAAGTTGCAGGAAAACATACAGTCCACGACTGTAATCTTGAGACTTGCAAGGAATGCAGTAAGTCTGTAGTGTTAAAGGCAGACGCTATCTTTCCTCCTTCACCCCACAAGTCTCATGATTACAGTCATGGACTGTAATAAACAAAACAACCAAATAAAAGAAAAAACTTCATAACCAAGTAAAAGTAACACTCACTCACCACTGCATCGTACGGTCACAAACAAATACACAATACATGATATTAAACAATTTTATTGATATATTTAAAAAACTGTTTGCTGAAAGCATAATTTTTATTACAACTTCACTAATTTTACCATTTTACAAGTAACATATGCTGGAATACTACAATAAAAAATAGAGATGTACATAAAATGTCACTACAACCTGATGATGCTTGTTAAAATTAAAACATGTCATTCAAAGATAACATTTACACTGTGCCATGGCAGAAAACTGAACATAGTGAAATAATTGTGTTTTAAGGAGTCACAAAATAAAGCAATTCTTCCATGTAGTGCTGCTTGCAGGGATGCGTTGTACCTACCTGGATAAATACTCACCTTTCGTCAGATTTTCTTTTTCTGTGGAGGCTTGCTAAGGGTCTGGTATTCACTTCATATGGTGCCCAGTTAAATATAGAATTTGGGGTTTGCGTACATTTTTAAGTGGTTAATTCATCAACTGATGACAGCCCTCTAAAGGTACACCAAGAGATTGTTTCCTTAGACTTAAACGCTGTCATGCTAGCATTCGATGCTACACAATCGGAACAGATGCAAACGTCATTAATACGCCAGAAAGAAAATAAACACGGCTAATTTTCTACCCCTTCGCTGTAACGTGTACCGATTTATGTTCGTCAAACTGCTGTAGGCACTAAAACCTCCGACTCCTTCATAAAAGCTCAATATGTATTAAAAATGGTACACCTACTAAAATGGTAAATAGTACCAAAAAATATGTTATCACCACCATGTGAATCATCAGGCTACTTTTTAGACTTATAACCTATATTTAAATACAAGTCTAAAGTTTATTGCAGAAATCGGTTGATTTGCAGGCCCTCGGCGGCTCACACGGTATCGAAATTGTTAAAATAGTATTTTCTAAAGGTTTGATATCTAGGTCGGAGTGCGTACATTTTTACCGACTCCACAGCCCTAATTGTAGAGCAGTGTACTTACTTATCAGAGTACGAAATTTGAAAGCCGAATTCTTCAACTATTACTATCCACAGACAATTTTATTCTCAAACCTCATACGATTCTCAACTTTGCATAAGAATACGTACCTTAGAAATTTCTCTTCCGAAGTACACCATTAACAATTAAACTACGCATATACTAAGAAACAGTTTCAATTCCTGCACAGTACCTCCAACATATGAAATAACACACTCAATTTACGAAACACAATACTAAAATATCCCAGTACACTGTCATGTTCATACTCACGACCATTAAAACATAAAATCTTACCAAACTTAGTTGTTCTTTCACTCACATTAGTTTAGGATTAAATCAACACCAATTTTTATAAAAGCACAAGGAAAATAAAAACAGGTCGTCCCAGAAAACAATGTAACCAGTTCTTCCATAGTCAATATTTCTCAAACGTGCTAGATGCAAGCACATGGCATGCCAGTGGCAGAAATAACAGGAAGCCTTCTGATTATGTAATTATTAAGGTTCTAACACTCCAGTCGATATTCAAAAATGGCTACACTGCTATGATGGCTTGCAATACTCTATTTCAGAAGGCATTTTCTATATGCTTTCTTTATGCAGCAATGGAACTTTGACGATTTCAACACAACATATCCATGCACAAGAAATTAGGGTTGACCATATTTTATAACTGCAAAATAATTCAACACCAAAGGGGATAATAAAATATATTTCCAACACACCTGTCATACAAGGTCAATTACTACATATGAATATACTTTTGAAAGCATATGCAAACAATTCCATTTCAGGAAAGTATGAGACATTTTTTTACTTAGTTGGGAATGCAGGCAACCACAAGTGAAAATATGGTGTTATATAATAATTATTTGGAACTTGATCCAAACGATTTCAAAATTCATACCCAAATAAACCTGCAATATTTGTTTTTAGAGAATAAAAATAAAATGAGTACAGTTGAAATGTAGCAGCTACACAAACATAATTTCATGCATTGGTTCAATAGCTTGCTCTTAAACTGTGAACAGGATTTGTTGATACGCTAAACAGGATAATCTAGTCCTTCAACAAGACCATTGGTAACATTACAGATTAATCTCTCTTCAAGAAGAGAAAATATATTTTGAAACAGAAAGCACCAACCCTTTTTAGGCCAGGGTTAAAAAAACACCTAAAGAGTATAAATTACAGTTCCTGTAATAAAACATGTAAGGCACAGTATAGGAAACCAACGTAACAAAGAAGTTCTGATATCTTCCGGAGAGGAAATACATCTGTACTTAAATTAACACAAATTATATTATTTTTAACCAAGCTTCTTGACAAAGGAATGTTGCAGGGACAGATCCTTCATAGGAATGTGTCAAGTCTTCCTTCACAATTGCACATTTCATAAACTCATTCACCCTTCTTCTAAATGCTGCAACTCTTCCTATTTAAACTTCACAAGATATGCTGGCCTATAAACATATTTTCTGACCCTGAAAATCAAGTTTAAAATATATAATTAATTTCTCTTACTTGCCTGCAAACAAGCTATGTATAAAAAGTTTATAGTTTAGCCGACTATTCTATTGTGTTCAGATTTCGATTCTTTAAACATATAGGTTCCCACAACGGACAACGGTCTGTCACAAAACTATTGTTTACTGGTGGCGTAAGTCTTCATGACTGAAATATTGCATTTCTAAAACTGCAGCTGAAACAAGGAACATCATGTTTTCATGAGAAACCAGTGTGCAGTATGGGTTCTAATTCATTTTTATTGAACAGAATAGTGTGACAGTCACTCGTAGGTAACGGTAACAAATTTATGCCTAGCAAAAATCGTTTGCAAGCCGTGTTAAATATTTTAACCAACAACAAACTATCTACTACATAATATAAATGTAAACACACACACTAATATGGGACTAAGAACACCTTAAACAAACATTAATTATAGTATAGCCCTAACCTATCAGATAAAAATTAATCACAATGTCAAAGAAAGTTGATTACAAATTCTCTAGTTCAAAGTAACTAGACTAAGAAATTAAGAGGTCTTTATTAGAAGTAAATGTTTTACAATGCTTTGTGTTGTTGAATAAAAGCTTTGTGCACACAATGCAGAGATATAAAATCACAATTCACACCATATCACTTTGGTGCACAGAATGGGAACAAATCTCTACAAATTTTTAAACAAAAATAAACACGTGGACATGTATTATTATCCTCCGATTAACACCAGACAGCTCTTCTGACCAATTTCACATCACAGATGCATACTAATATGATAATTCCAAAGTCTCCATTATTTCTGCAGCAGCTAAAATTTATGAAAAGGACAAACTGTAATAATGAGCCGGTGTACAAAGTTAGCATGATTATTTCTGTAATCATCATCCTCAGGTGTCAAATAACACATTAAAATTAGCAACTCAAAAAGTTTACAATAAATAAGAAAATGTCGATAATATATTAGTAGTGATTCTCATACCAACTTGACTAATAAGAAGCTCCAATTATCATCATAAAGCTTGCAGATCCAGTTGAAGACGCAAACATTCAAGCAAAACTACATCAAATGTTACCAGCAAACATCAGATGCAGAGCAGAGCTTAAATTTATATACATAAACAAGTTGAAACAGGTAGTGCTAATTGAAAAAAAAAGAGGATAAAAATATTTTTAAAACTTGTGCGGTATTGAAAATATTAATGACACAAAGATGAGGCAGCTAACCCTGCAGCCTATGGGTAAACAGTTCACGTTACCATATTTCAGGGACACTAAAGAGATTGAAAATTCTCTTCATAACAAACACCGACAAATTACTATAAAAGATGTTTACAAAAAAAAAAAAAAAAAATGACGTCTTGAAAAATTTCATACAGATGTCTAATACATAAAATGTTACAATGTAATAAGATGACACAACAGGATAACACTAGACTTGAATATACTGGGTCACTCATAAGAACTATTTCACATGTGCAGCAGAATTTTGCTCTGAAAAGAAGAGCAGACCAACTTCCAGATTTAAGGCAACCCTAACAACTTTAAAATTGTTTCTTAATATCCTGCTTTCAGCCATTACGCAAGACCTGAAACATTTCTCAGGGCACCATAAACCAAAGTTCATTAACTTCGTATCACTTTCTAGTCATAATACTTTTAAAAAAAAAAAGCACATTCCTGTTATAGCCAATCATTAGAAGAATAATCTATCAATATATTTTTAACACAATCTTAAGACAAGCATTCATACTATGGCAAATCGCACATCACTTGCTCAGAATATTAAACACTTTTATAATTTCATTAACCAGGTTCACATACTGATCGTCACCGTACTCGATCGTAAGACAGGATTTACTTCATGTATATACTTCCAAACATACAGAAAAACATAAATATCCCCTACCAATTGCATATTAAATGGCAAATGGGATTCTAAAACTGTAAACTATTGTAAATGAAAATAATTTGCATTTTATTCCACTCCATTGCAGTTTCAGATTTCACTAATGTCTTCCGTCTCATGTTTTAGGCACTATGCTCTTTCACTGCAGCAAACTGTACAGATCATCTCCACAATATAACGGGACACAGCAAATCTGATAAATGAAACATGAGCAGTTAACATGTTTGCTATTAACCAACCCTGCGTTGCCAATATTTATCACACTGTCAGAATTAGAACACTAATGGAACTTTCCAATCTTGGGCATGCAAGTATGCCACTTTACATAACCTCAGAGACTTAAACATCATTTCCTCTTAATTTCTGTACTTCAACTTATCACACTGTGTAAGATTTGAGGTTTTCACAGCGGAGTATGAAGATTTCTGTCTTCTGGGTTGTTGCGCAGTGTAGACTGGTCGATGTTAACCAACGTTTCGGAGGTCATACTGCCTCCTTCATCGCCCTGATGACGGAGGCAGTACGACCTCTGAAACGTTGGTTGACATCGACCAGACTACACAGCGCAACGACCCAGAAGACAGAAATCTTCAACTTATCACACTACTCATGTTTTTGAAATAATGCTGTATGCTTTCTATGCATAACACAAAGATTCATTCCATAGCAGCGACAGAGTTCAACAGAACCAAAAATATAATGGGGGTGGGGGGTTGTTTGTGGAAAGGATATGCAGTAAACAAAATTCAAACATTTCTCTGAAAGAAAATTTGAACAGCTTTAATAGAGAGAGAGAGAGAGAGAGAGAGAGAGAGAGAAAACCTGAAATCATTATTTCTAACTCAGCATATAAAGGCACACAACTGAATCGAACCACTTAATTTTGATTATAACTCAAATAATAACACAAAATTTCACTTTCAAAGAAAACAAAAGCAGTACTACAGTTACAAACAGAAAAATCAATATGAAAATTATTACAGACTTCATGCTTTAACCAAAGTACTCAATATATCATTATAATACCTAAGCACCATTTTTATTCCATTTTCAGTTCTGCCTTCTTCCAAAATAAGACCAATAACCTCACTTTTATTCACAGACTACCCATGCAGCCAAAACGCAGTACAAATATCAAACTACTCGTTTGGAATCTTCCGGAGTTCGGCCGTCGCATTCGACACATCACTGGTTGTGCAGCAATTCCTCGCCGAGAAAAGCATTCCCGTCATCACCCAACCACCATACTCTTGGGATCTCGCTCCGAGCGACTTCTGGCTGTTCCCTACTCTGAAAATGGGCCTCAAGGGGGCGCATTTCGCAACCATGAAGGACATCAAATCGAATGCGACGGTCAAACTCCGGAAGATTCCAAACGAAGCCTTCCACTGATGCTTCCAACAATGGCAGGATCGATGGAGCAAGTGTGCGCGAGCGCAAGGGTCCTACTTTGAAGGTGATTCGGTAAGCGTTGCCATATGTCCTACCATTACAGTGCTATACCACAATTCCGCGAACTTTTTGACTGCTTCTCGTATATTAAAAATACTAATACTATAACATCTGTATTACTCTGGTTCTGATATCACTGTCTCACTTTATAGACATAATTATATTACAAAAGCTGGAAACATGACTGGAAAATTCCAAAGCATTCTAATACTGACAACTCACATATAATCTGCAACAAGTAATCCCGTACTGATATGATGGTTGAAATAACAAAGCGTCAGCTTCGTTTCATCTGCGATTTGACCAACACGTAATTATTACATAACACAAATTACAAAGCTATATTCATTAAAAATGAAAGTTTAGTGATTACAAACCTAATCTGATATTCTGGACTAGTACTCTACTGCAGTAGTACATGGTACCTGCTTATAAAAAGGAAACGTCTCTGTACGCTAACAGAAATAACAACACAGTCAAGTCATGAAGACGGCCGTCTTCTGGGTTGTTGCGCTGTGACGATGGAGGCAAGGACCTCTGAAACACTGGCAAACTTCTACCAGACTACATGGCCGAACAACCCAGAAGACGGCCACCTTCAAACTCACCACTGTGAAAACCTCAAATCCTACACAGTTGAGTCATGTTTACATAAGTAACACATGCCCACAAAGCATATAGAAGTAAATAATGTTTCACATAACCTAGTAAGTCGTTCTAAGTGCTGGATTATATAACACATCGACATTATGACTCCATGTACAACATGGATGAGTTCTCCTTGATGAAGCCAGTTAAAGTTATTAGCGATGTCAGTATAGAGTGAATTTCCGATGTTTCGGAGACTGACCCTGATTCCATCATCAGTGCCAGAGACAGTCTCCAAAACTTTGCAAATTCACACCATTAGACACGACTGAACAGTATCTAGTCACAGTGAAAGCCTTTCTTCTTTCGCTATTCCTCAGGACAGAAAAGTAAATCCCATAGCAATCTATTCCACAGATAGACTCGTCGAGAATCTACAGTTTAGTACAAAAAAAAACACACATTACAGTAGCAGCCATATGTAGTCAAAAAGTACCTTTTGCCCATCATCCTCATGTTCATGCTGAGCAATAAGTCTGTGAACACTTTCATAACTGTGGCATAATATTCTGATCATATATTCACTTTTTTATATATATCTGAGCTACAAGATACGCATCTAATTAGTTAAAGCACAACTACTATATCACAAATATATATCAATTCATCGCAAATACAGAATTTTACAATTTAATAACTATAAATCTGTTTATAAATATTTAAACTTTATATTTCAAAAGGAGAGATTACACGACACACAAAAATTAAGATTCCCGTAAAATTTAGAAATAAGTAGCTCTATTAATCCATCCTTTACTTGGAGATTTAATGAGTCTGGTATTTAATTATTTTCTGAGTCCTTAAACTTGAAACTATATCTATTTATCACACAATATTAATTACCTGCAATACACGTGAGGCATGTAAGACATAACACGTACTCTCAAACTAAGACAATATTAATGGAATTGGGGGGGGGGGGGG